GCAGGAAGGGAGAGCGATCGGGCAAGGAACAAGAGGATTCTGGACAGGAGCACAGCACACCGAGGATCTCCCTGATAAAACCGCCAAGGATACTCGCGAAGTTTATATCGCCCGAGACGAGACCGAGCCCGACCAAGCATGGCGAGAGGAAGTCGAATATTCCTATTTTCAAAAGGAGCTCCAAGGAATTCGAGGACATCCGAAGTCCGCAGGAGTCGCCTAAGCGATCGCTCATTCCTCAGAGGTACGTAATTCCTTCCTTTCCTTTACGGATAATGAATTTGACAAAAGAATCTATCCATAAATGTAAATCCCATATATTACAATTTATTCTATACAATGTTATCTTTGAAAGCCATTTCTTTACTGAATCGTTTTACGATAGGAATAGAGACTCATTAATAAAAAATAAATGGAATATTTTTGAATAATGCACATATAATTAATTATTATTTGCTACTAAGTTTGATAATAATTTGCTATTAATTTTTATCATTATTTTGCAGATATAGAGGAAGCACTGATGATCTGCGTCGTAGTCGCGAGGACATAAGCGTACCGAGTTTGATCCCGAAATTACTACCTTCTCGTAACAAAGAAGAACGATTGAAGCGGCAAGACAGCAAGGACGATATCCGTCATTCATCGAAATCCGGGCGAAAGGAGGAGACTAAGTTCTCGTCGCTCATCGTCTCCCCAGTGTTTGGTGGCAAGGACGAAGCCGGCAAATCGGGCATAAGGATCTCTCGCCGCGACAATAGTCGCGAGGACGTGGGCAGAGACAGCACGAATCCGATCAAGGAATCCGCGAAAGGTAAACAGCAGGACAGGCAAGAAAGAACGGAGAGCGTGGGCGACGCAACGAAATCGAAAGTCGCTGAAATCGGACAGAACAGAACGAGATGCGAGGACGGCAAGAACGACCCTAACGACATCGAGGAATTGTCGTCGAGGAACGAGGTGACAGTCGAAGTCGCGATCGAACAGCACGAAGTAATACTAGACTCGCGAGCTGATGCGGAGAACCGGGACGCGAGAATGCTCGACGTGATCGTCGCGGAGGACAGCGTGCAGGACGAGCAGGAGCGGGATACGATAGGCGAGGAAGTCGTAAACGAGAAGCGTTTGCTAGCAACTCCAGAATCAGCCGAGTCCGTCGCGGAGAATGACAAGGAGCGGAATAACAATGACGAGGAGATGAGAGACACCGCCGATCGATTGTTAGACGTCGGCAGCGACGGTGACGTCATTGGTGAAAGAAAGGGCCCGCTGGAGATCGGCTATGGAAAGAGGCCGGACGAGTTCCAAGTGGTCAGTGAATATGCTTGTGTGAACTGTTTATCGTATGCGTGGGCGTATGTATGTGTGTATGTATGTGTATATGGAGGTGTTACCGGCATCCTTTGCGAAACGTGAGAGCCTTTTCTCTTAAGCATATATTATGATACCCTTCGTTTACTAACAATAATTTAACCGAGATAAGAAATGATAATTAAATAAAAATACAAATTTGATATCTTTCGTAAGATAAAAAATAGAATCAAGATTATTTAAACTTTGAACATTTCAATATTATGTTACAAAAATTCAATTCTTATGAATATATTTATTTTATCAAGATATATTGAAGATTTCGTTTTACTACACGATTTTTTATTTTTATTGAAAATTTCTTTCTGGTTAAATTTTTCGAAATCTTTACATACATATCAGCTTTTCTATTTAATGTTATCTTTTTAAGTAAGACAAGAGATGATTTTAGACACATAAAAGAAAAAAAGAAAACATTGAAATTATTATTATTACCTTATACCTATTCAAGAAATGACGAAATAACAGCAAATAATAATTTCATAGAGAATGGCAATCTTATTTGCCTACAAATATCAATTATATATTTATAAATTATCATATGCCAAAAGAAAGAAGGCTCTGTCACGCTTTGCTCTTTATTTATAATTCATGATTATATCGCGTTGCCTAATATCTTGAGTCTAAGCATGATATTGTCACGCGCATATTGTTTACTAAACAGGTGCGGCGAAAATTTTCCAAGGAAGAATTCTCGAATCCAGACGACACCGACGACACCCCGAATAAGCGTTGTTCAAGCGTAAGTTTTTATTAAATTGCAAATTTGATACGCTCTTTTAAAAATATACAGATTAAATTAATATTAAAAATTGCAAAGTATTATTTATATATTTCCTCTATATATATTATATTATTATATTTAGAAGAATTCTCGAATCCAGACGACACCGACGACACCCCGAATAAGCGTTGTTCAAGCGTAAGTTTTTATTAAATTGCAAATTTGATACGCTCTTTTAAAAATATACAGATTAAATTAATATTAAAAATTGCAAAGTATTATTTATATATCTCCTCTATATATACTATATTATTATATTTATTTTATATATTTGTAAAGAATAGTTTCTGTGGTTAAATTTTCAATTCGTTTTTATTGACAGCATTTGTCGCCGGAAGCCAGTCCATTGAGCACGAGGTCATCGAGGTACAGTCCTCGGGAGAGCGAGAGCGAGCCCACTCCTGCATTGCCACGTAAAACTGGAGGAGACTCCTGTTCCGCCTCCCAGAGGATACGTGACACGATTACGAGAACCAGAAGAGAATCCAACAGTAGCACCAGATACGAGAGCAGCGGTAGCGAGAGTGTCAGGTGAGTCGGTCTCAAGAAAATTCGGTAAAATTAAATGCCTTCCAACATTACAAGAAAGCGCACTCGCCTGTTTTTTTTAATTTGTTTTAAAAAAACAGACAACTTTTTAACTTTTAATGGCTTTTTAACTTTTTAAGGATTTTTTTTAAACATAAAAAATTATATTAAATTATTCAAACAAAAAATTACATTTTTAAGATACAAAAATCTCTAAGAAATTAGATATTATAGTTCGTTTTCTGTTCCCTCTAGATTAAGCGAGACCGGCTTGCACGGTTACGTGGAGCTGGCCAGGAAGGTGAAATTTTTTGGGGGTAACGGCAGCGGCGCGGTTTCGTCGACGATCGGCGGTGACGAGATGATGCAACGCGACAGTGCGACGAGTGCGGGCGAGGATGAGACCAACGAGGATGGCCACGATAGGACAGGTCCGCTCCCTTCCCAGGGAAGAACAATGCTGCGACGAAGAAGGCAGTTTGATGCTCAAGGTAAGATATTTATGATAATGAATGAAAAAAAGTTAGTGACGAAAGAGGAGTAATTAATAGAATATCGATGAAACGCATTTAAATTGATTTTTATTGTTTATATTAAAAAAGTTTTGCTGGAAGATGTTATAAAATAATGTTTCGAGAATAATCGATCGACATTTTAATTCGATAAAAATTCTTCGCGCATTCTGAAGTCTGCGATCACGTTTCAGCGGAGCAGAAACATTGAAAAAAAATAAGCAATTATGAATTGCGGTGGAATGTGAAAGGAATGCATTTCGACGTTTAACAAGAGTGCATAAAATAGTGCATACTCCGAATTATTGTTTCGTGATTTAAAGACGTTAATTTCGTGATACCGAGAAACGATCGTAATTCGAGTCGAGTATCGAACTCGGCGTAAATCGAACATCTCGCTGATCGATTATTTTATTTTGCAATTCTTTCTCTTTGTTAATTCGCACAGAGAAAGAGAGCGAGAGGGAGAGAGAAAGAAGTGTGTGTTCACAAACATGGAGCTGCAAAGAGTAGTCCAACTGTCAATCACGTTTCTGTTATCAATGTACTTTCTCATTTTCTACACCGGGATTGCCGTAATATTGTACTTGCTATGGAGTAAAAGCGATTAACAAACCAATATGAAAAGGAGATATTTTTCTAAATTTTTATTACAAAAAAATTCTTATTATAAAAAATATTTTTCCAGAATAAAGGAAAAAATGAGTTTTCAAAAAATTTTATATCACAAGAAAAAAAAAAAAAAAAAAAAAAAAAATTGTAGGAAAAAAGCACACACTGTAGTAAATTAGTACCTTAAGTTTTCTATCCTGTACTTCAAATAGGCTCACTTTATAGCCATATTCCTCCGCGTCGTTGCATTTGAGATTTACGACAGCCTGTTACCGCCGTTTATTTCCAGCAATAATTCACTCCCGGTCGAATCTCAAAGATTTCGAATGAAAGTCTTATCCGTTCCGTCTTATCTCTATTGTCCATTCTCACCCGAGTACAAGCCTTTTGGCACGGAATCATCTGTACGGCGGATAGGCAGCAGGTGAGGCGAAGCGAAGCCGGGCCCAGGGGAACAGCATAGGAATAATAGGGTAACCAGCGTTCCCCCTGCTGACGCTCTATAGTCCACTCACCTGCGCCGCGAGTATACGGGGTGACGCAGGAATAATAACACAGAAATGTCAGTGACTCCGAAACATCTTAATCGCCCGATTACGTGCCAAATTGTAAAAAAGATCCCGACTTATACGATCTGACGCGAGTCCTATCTCAAGAATCTTTTTTTAAGGACACGATTGCATGTAATTTTGATTAAAGTGTTAAAGAGAAGAGAAAATATGATGAGTTTAAGTTTGAATATAGACACTACAAGACACACTAACACAAAAATAAATTACAAACGTACGGCATGGATTAAGAATAAATAAATAAATAATAAAATAATAATGAATTTAAGATTGATTCACGTTATATATATATGTCTGATTTATGATAAAATATAAATAAAATAAATTCTTTTTTAATATGTAAACGTATCTATATTTACATATTAAATCTGAAATGTACGTAAAAAAGAGAAAGAGATGGAGACACGATATTTCGGATTAATCATAATGAATATTTTGTTGATGATAATAAATTGTTAGAACAGTTGGCATTCTAAAATATATTTATAAAATTTCTTTTTATCTTGTGTTTTCTGATATAATGTTGCGAGAAAAAAACCTCTTTTTCAGTTTGTCTTTAACATCTGATGGACCCAAAATAGACGTCATTTTGATCTTGTTTTTTTTTCATTTAATAATAAAACAATACATGCCAAATTTTACAATAAAAATTAATTTGTGAATATTTCGTTTATTTGTTGACGTTAAAAAATTTTCGAAATTAATATTGTTATGTCATATGATGTAAATCAATCTTTATGAACTGCTTGACGAAATTACAGCGTGTATTTATCCTAGGATTGCCGTGTTCCCATTCACGGACTTTTCAAACGTGTGTGTCTTGGAGAAATTCTCGTTCTTTCAGTCAAGCGTTAAATCTATCGGAATTTTTTTAGCGAAAATATTGAAATAGGGTTAAAAGAACGACGGAAAAGGGCATGTTAAAGAGGCAGATCACCCAGTATAACACAGGCGCGATGCACTATAGCGCCAAGGTATACTATAGGCACCGTAGTAAGGTAGTGACCGACGCCGCGCGCGGGGGGACTCAGGTGTGTGCCCCCTCGGTGTAGACGCTCTCAGTTTAGCGGCGGTAGCCCACGCGAATCGCTCACTTCGTCTTCTTCGCCTTGGCGTGGCGACCGAAGCCGTCTTTATTTCGCGAACGGGAAACTCAAGTCGAGGAAAATATCAATCCCGTCGCGTTTTCTCAATTTTTCGACGTCCCAAAGTGACAGCCGAGCGCGTTTCGAACCATCTCCGTCCACTGTTTTTTATGAGAAAATTTTTCGATAATTACGGCAAAATTATTTAGCTTGATATAAAAAATTAAGGAGGTATATATACGCCTTTATTAACGTGTGTGAGTGAATTTCCTTCTGGATATATTAGAGAAAATTAGTTTAAAAAAAGGAGTGAAGGTTTTCTCATAAAGTGTATAAAATAAGGACACCGCCAAAAAGCTTCTTGTGTGATTTGCACCTCAATCTCTTCGGAATTAATATCTTTGAAGAAATCAGGTGTGTTAAAAGACATAAGAATTTTTTTGTTTGAAAATTTCTCTTTTTCTTATGTCGACCTTTTTCAGTTCTTTTACGAAAAATATTTGAGAAATTTCTGAAAAATTTCTGAAAAATACGAAATGCGTGATCGTGTGTGTGTACGTGGTTATTTACGAATCTATTGTATGTATATTTGCACGTGCGATAACAATCGAGCCATCGTCACGTCAAGGACGATGAAAAAGCTAAAGTTGATGAAAATCCGAGGTAAAACCTACAATAATGCTTGGTATCATTGTTTGCTCAAGTATCGTTTCGGCGTCGTTATTTCGGAACGTTGGCAGAAAACGTGAAATAATATCAGAAACCAACAGACACACATGACATTTTGCGAAGTTCTCGCGAGAATGCAAGAGCATTTTCTGTGATGAGTTTGACGCCGAACTGTCTGTTGCTAAAAGCATTATCACGTTTCGTTTCGAATTTTTGCGAGAGATTTTTCTTTCTGTGCACAGAGACTTAAATCTGACGCTCTGAAAAATTATCTTTATTCCTGATTTCTTTTTATTTGAATTTCCTTAATTATTGAGATATTAAATATTAAAAAGAGACATGCTCCAAATAATTTATATGTCTCTCTATTCCTATATATATTTTAAAAAATTTTACTCTTTGAAATCTCAAGTATTTTAAGCAATGATTTGAATTAATGGCTAAACATATTTTCTATCGCGACGTCTATGAATGAAATGAGATTAAAGTTGAAGTGATAATTCGGAATTTTCATGACTAAAATATAAATTTTGAAACAGTTTTGACATTCAAGTATGAGGAAAAATCGAACAGATTATAAATTAATGTATTTTATACAAAAGTAAGCTTGTACAATCCTTTACATATTCGCAATATTAAATTTAAAAATACATAAGACATTAATTATTTGACACCTTCTTCATAAGGTCGCGTGCTGTTCGCAAAAATATCTATAATTAATAAAGCATAGATCGCGACAAATATAATCGCTACATATGTAAAATAATTAATTAGTACGAAACGTTAGATTGAAAGTATTAATTCTTAAAAATTATGAACTTACCTCATTCTTTGAAATCTTTCGATTCTTATCATCGCCGAAGACCCAGATCCGTGGTTTCCGCTATTCTCATTTCAAACGCGTTCTATTGAGATTTGGCGATCTCTCTTTAATCCCCGGGGGGTCCACCTCTCCTTTCCTTTTCTTCTCTCTCTCTCTCTCTCTTTCTCTCTCTCTCTCTCTCTCTCTCTCTCTCTCTCTTTTGAGCGACGTCATTCACGAGAATAGTCAAGAAGGCTCGGTTAGTGATAACGGCGCGCACGGGTGGGGGGGAAGGGGGAGAAGGAAACATACGCGAACGGAGAGACGACGAGCCGCCCTCGTGCCATTGACCAGGTAATTCAGCGGCGCGTAAAAAGCGGGCATAAAGCGCGCCAACAGAGCGGGCCCCCGATTCTGCCCTCTCCCGTGCCCCTTTTACATGTGCCATTCACGACGAGCCGCCACCTGACGACCACCTGACCCGCGTCCCGTTTCTTCTTATCGCCTTATCAGCGCAAGAATAAAGTACCTCGGCGCAATGAACGAGCAATGGAACGAGAATTTTAACAGCGAGATCTCGCGAGATAAAAATAAGTTGAAGAGATTATAGTTTCTCTCTTTTATTAATTAATAAAAATTAATGAATATAGTTTTACCCGATGTCAGCGTAAAATCCTTCGACGGGACGTAGCGAAAAAACGATTCATCTCTTTCCTTTCCCGAAAATCGAAAAAAAAAAGTATTTAAAGAGAACAAGAGAGAGGTTCTTTTAGAGAGATGTTTTGTAGAAAAGAACCGAGGTGAGGCAGACGCAGAATCAAGGCGGTGTAACATGACCAAGCAAAGATTTAGACGCCGCCGTTCCGCCGCCGCAATAAAAAGTGCATTGTTTCGGGGCGCACAATAGATATAAATTCAATCCTCCTACGTGTACCTCTGACGCATGTGTGTGTGCGTGAGCGATGTAACAGTCAATATCAAAGAGTCCTCGCGCGCGCGCGCGCGATGCATTACGTCGTTCATTATCATATACCACTTTCATATCGTCATTACTATTAGTATACCATTTATAGTTGAGTATGATTTTCTTTTTTTATGCTGCGAAAAACGCATTGCGTCCCTATTTTTAATTAAAACAAACGAAGAATTGCGGAAAAAGGACATTTCTCTGAGCTTTAGGCAAATTAAATTGTCGATATTTTGTATTTAAATTTAAATAACATCATAATTTAATAAAAATAAAACTAAATAGAATTTTAATGTAATATAAACTTATAAAAATCGATATATATATATATATTGGATGATTGCATAAGTTCGTGCCCGATTTTCATAGATGGCATTAAGTTACTGCATGGCGGAGTTCTATTGTTTTCGTGTGGTAATTGTTGCTTACACCGAATAGATGACGTTGTCTTATGTCAATTTAGCGTCAGACATTGTTCAGATAAGTCCATTTGTGCATAAGAAAAATCATTAAAAATGGAGAACGAAAAGGTGCATTTGCAGCATGTAATGTTATATGAATTTCGGAAAGGCATGAGTGTTGGGATTGCACAAAAAAAATATTCAAACCGTTTATTTGGACCGCGCTCCTGCTCTCCGAACAGTCAAAAAGTGGTTTGGCAGATTTCGAAATGGTAATTTCAACATGGAGGATCAACCCCGCTCTGGACGGCCTTCTGGCATTGATAATGACATTGTGCATGCCTTAGTGGAAAGAAACCCAAGGATTACAACTGAGGATATTGCTAAGAGGCTGAACATCGATAATTAAACCGCTTTTCGTCATTTAAAAAAAGCTTGGATACGTTTCCAAGCTTGATACATGGGTGCCGCATCTCCTGACTGAAAGGAATAAGCTAAACCGTATGACTGTGGCTCTTTCTCTTCTCGAGCGTAACAAAAAAGAGCCTTTTTTAGATCGAATGGTAACAGGCGATGAAAAGTGGATTCTCTACAAAAACGTACAGCGAAAGAGGACATGGAAAACAGCAGCTGAAGGAGCAGAACCCGTAGCAAAGGCTGGCTTGCATCCGATGAAGGTGTTGCTGTGTGTTTGGTGGGATCGCAAGGGAATTATTTACTTTGAGCTGCTCCGACGCGGCGAAACAATCACGGCGGACAAGTACTGTGAGCAACTAACTAGACTCGCTGCAGCTATTCGAGAAAAACGTCCGATTTTGGCCAATCGAAAAGGCGTCATCTTCCACCACGACAATGCTAGGCCACACGTCGCTCAACAGACGCTGCGAAAACTGCAGGAGTTGCAAGGGGAAATTCTGCAGCACCCGCAGCAACCGATATTCTCCAGATATTGCGCCTTCAGATTTTTATCTGTTCCGGTCTTTGCAGAATAGTTTAAATGGCAAGAATCTCAATTCCGAGGAAGCTGTCGAAAACCACCTTACAAACTTTTTTCAAGAAAAAACAAGTTCTTTCTTCAAAAATGGAATCGACAAGCTTATAGATCGTTGGAAAACCATTGTAGAAAAGAATGGAGACTATATAATTGATTAATAAAAGTGTTATCTCTAAAATATAATCTATTGAAGTTTATATTTAAATCGGGCACGAACTTATGCAATCATCCAATAGAATCGTTCTCGAGTATTCTGCGGTAGATCGATCCGCTGCTTGGGTAACCCCTTTTCTAGAAGTCGCTCACACTAACTTTATCGCGTGGCTAAGATCGCTCACTGTTCTTCTCGTTGCATTTTTTTTTCTCGTGCTCCCTGCTTTAAAGTACGCTCACACGCGCGGAACTCTCGATAAACCACTCCGTTACACAACCCCAACACAGCCTGTAGTTCGGCCATAGCGAATTTTCTGCCTGCTATTTTCTAGCTTATCATGGCGGTCAACTTCATTTATTAAACGGATCGGCCTACTTTATCGTTTCGCATATTTCTTGATTACTGCACCCCGAGAGGCGATTAATTTTTCTTTATACTGCGCTGCCTCCGTCGTCCTGAAACGAATTACTTTTCACAGGATACGACCAAATGTAACTTATTCGTCTGTATCCATTTGATATGTCTTTAGTAACGCATGTTTGCATGTTTCAATTAATTTGTATGTAAATGTTCAACGAGAGACGATAAGAGATACGGTTCAAACAAAACTCGGAAAAAAATTCCCTTATTGTTATCATCATTTAAAGAATTTTTAAAGCTAACGTTTAAAGACTATACAATTTTAAAAGTTTTTTAAAACTGGACTTCGCAAACTGATTATTGATATTCTTCTATCAAATTAAAAAACTTATTGCAGTCTTCCAATTAATTGGCTTGTAGTTGTAACATTATAACATCGAAACAATAAAACCTTATAAAAACTTAATAACCTGAAAGATTTTTTGAAACCCACTGAAAAAATATATGATGGAATAAATATCTTCGTGAAAACACATAAACCGTCGATCAATTTGAAATATGTATGTTGCTTGATTATATATTTACATTTATATACATTCATATTACATCACATTTATCGATTCATACATTCATATATACATAGATTCATTCATATACACGTTCATTTATATATTATTCTTCGTGTTTTATTCAGAATCAATATATGTATATTTAAAAGAGCGGGAAAGAACGAAAGCAAGAAAAAGAGAGAGAAAGAAAGAGTGGGCGGAAGGGAGGAAGAGAGAAAGAGAGAAAGAGAGACATATATTTATCATAAAATAATTTTAAGCAGGATAATGCTCGATTATCAACTTTTGTCCACGAATTGTCGACTAGTATATATATATATATATATATAAAGAGAGAGAAAGAGAGACATATATTTATCATAAAATAATTTTAAGCAGGATAATGCTCGATTATCAACTTTTGTCCACGAATTGACTAGTGATCGACTAGTAATCGATCGAGAAAGTCTACGAATCAGCGCGTTGTCGTGTCTATACAATTATCAAAGTTTAGAATTCACTAACGGTTCGTTAGCGCCGTGAGCAAACGTAACACGCTCGTAACATTCAAGAGTTAGTTCCTCGAGTTGGTAGAAACATTAGCGTAGACTTTTGCGCGCGTTCCCTTCTAATTGCGTCGTAATTTGTTCACTGCTTCTCCAGCATATAAATGAGACTCCGCAAGGGATGCTCTCTGTTAAAGTGCATTCTCAGCCCGCAGGGTTCTTTATAGACACTATGACTGTGGCTTCATCTACAGAACTGACGCTTCTCTTCATTAGATCGCTATAGTTGCTGCACTGCCGTACAGAATAGTTCGAAATTACCGCTTATATTTTTTGCGAATTCACGTAATAAGCTAATGTATATTTTTGCAGAATTTTAAAACTTTTTTTATCGCGATGATACATGTATGGGTGCATAAAATATATAATTTTTTCTTCGATCAACAACTTGGTTGCTATTTTATTAGCATGGCATTTTTTATGAATTACATGTTCGAGGTACGGACTTATATTATTTTCAAATGCTATAAACTCTTAGAAAAGAGATAATCGATGAAAACGATAAAGCAGCTACCAACATGTTGATAAATTGGCTTTATCAAACAATTTCGTCTCTTATCTTCCCGGTCTGCTCGATCTTATCTCGCTCTATCGCTGAATCAGCCCGGGAATAGACGACAAGTGAACCGTTAACGATTGTTGCAAAAGGTTCACGACGACGCGGGAGATCGCACGCGAGATCGTCCTGTTGCACCAGCGAGGATTTGCAGAGCCTGCAGACGTTAAATCTGATCGGACGCGGCGGTGGCGGAAGCGGGGGCCGACAACGCAGTCCTAATCCCGGATCGGTTGGTCCGGAGCAGGCGGCATCCGCGGTCGACTACAGACGGCTCGTGTTCATCAGCTCGGATTCATCGTCGGGCCGCGAGGAGGACGACGCCGACAGCAGTTGCTCGAGCTCGTCCTACCTGAACGGCCTGCCGCGGAACAGTGGCCACCATCATCATCACGCGCAGTCGCTCGAGGACTGCGACTGGGATTACTTCGAGAGTGGTTCCCTGCCGCTGCCGACGACGCCGAGCATCACCGTCGCCGGCATCACAGCGGACACCAACGTCGCTCAGGACGTTTGGAGTTGCTGTCCGGGACGCGGCTCCGCCGCCTGCCAGGTGAGCGCGATCCTCAAATTGTTGATTAATTAATTCATTTTTTATATATTAATTAATATATAAATATTAATTAATTATTTATATATATGTCATACATGATATGTATATTATGGGTTAAAGTGTTGAATTGATATAAGAACCTGGCAAAAATCGTATGTAATAATATTATGTAAAAAAGTTAAAATAATAAATACATATATATTATTGCGCACGCGAATCTACATGAATATTTGAATTTTTAATGAATTTTCTTAGCCGAGAAAGAAAAAAATATGTAATCGAAAAATTTCAATCAAATTTATGTTTATAAAATACAAATTTAGAAATATAAAAATTGAGATTGTAATTTTTCGCGCGCGCACGCGACTGTATTTTTTTTTCTTTTACTTATAAAATATAAAATATAAATTTAAAAATGAAAATTAAGATCGTAATTTTTCAACAGTATTTTTTATCTTTTTCGGCTAAGAAAATTCATTGAAAATTCAAATATCCATTGTATGTAGATTTGTTATGTGCAACAATATATATATTTCTTACTTCAATTCTTTTAGAGGCATAATTATTGGGTGATTTATAATTTCTATTAGTGTTTTACATATAGCCTCTCCTATTTTTAATCAATTTGACTGATTAAATTTGATGATTTGATTTTTTTTTAATATTATCGATTTTTTTTAATGCAAAGAATACTTTGAAATAAATTTTTGCTATATTTATTCGCGAAATTATTTTATAAATAAATCGAAGAGAAGAATATCATATACAATACAACGCGATGAAAAGAATTTTCATGGATATGAACACAACTCATGTGACCGCGACTGAATGCCTCGACTGGCTGCGCGTCCGTTTGACAAATACATTGCTACAGCTAAATTAATCATTCACGTTCTACTAGCGAAGAGAGTCATACACGGCAGCTATGCGGAATTCACGGTCACACTTTGTCAATAAAGTGTACTCGCAGTCTTTCTCGTATATCGAACGACGCCTCATGGCCTCATGCTGATTATTGCCGATCAATAAATGCTTCGCTAGCGAATTGTCATCGTCGGCTTTCAAATTGTTAACCCATTTCTATCGACAGCTTTTATAAGTAGAACAGATTTAATGGAAAACAAATAATTTTAATTTTAGATTAATATATTTTTATATTGCACGTGTATTAATGCTATTAAAATGTTATATAAACGTTCTTATGAACAATGTTAAACGGTAGAAATTAAACACAGCATATTTTTTTAAATTAACGATATACATATCTTCATTATCAACACAATTATGCTGTCATGTTTTATTTGTATCTTTTTTAAATTTTGCTTTATGTTTAATTTAATTAAATGTAGAAATACATTTATCATTTATTTAATAAAATAAAAACAAAATATGTGAGAAATATATGCAAAATAATATAAAAAATGGGAAATTAGGAAAGAGATCAATTTCGAATCAAATTGAATATTGAGATAAAAAATTCGTTTATTATAAATAAATTTTATTTAAATTAAAATTAAAATATTTAAATTTAAGTATAATTACCTATATTTAAATCTAATAAAAAAAAATAAACATAAGTTCTCTGCACATACATGTTATAAAGATTAGAAAGACAAGAAATTCGGAAACTGATAGAAAGATAAAAAGCTTTTTAAAATAATATGTCGCGAGCTATCATCCTGTCGTTCTATCCAGGCTTGCGGCGGTTCCCGAAGCGCGAACGTACTCCCGGTGCCGGTGCCAATACCGGTCCCGGTCCCGTATCCGGTGCCGGTACCGGCTGCCCTGTGGACCGGCGACTTCGCGGCAGCCGCGTCATCCATGATAAGCCGCGGCGACGGCCACGCCGAGTCGGGAACTCTGAGGTTACGAGGCGATCCGGCGGCGCCCTGGTTCGCCTGGCATCCCCGTTTCAACCAGCCTTTACATGGCGCGCGCCTGGACCCTCGACTTGCCGGCACCTTCGATCCGACCACCTATACCTTCCATCCGCCGGAACAGATGATGACCCCGAGACTATATGGGCCGATAACCGAGACGACGACGATACCATCGGCAAATCTCGAATCTTCTCAGGACGTGAGAGATGACACGAAAATCATGTCGAAAGCCGAAGAGATCAGAAGGGAGGAGAACTCGTCGGCGAAGGGCATCGACAAATCTGGTTCTTCCGTCGTGAAGAATAGATTGGAAGAGACGAAGAACTTTGAAACGGAACGCGAGAAGAGTGACGAAGAGATAGAAGAGGTAGAAGGAAACGAGGAGGCTGCTTGTGAGGATTCCTTATCATCTTCCTTCGAGAGAAGCGCGCAGGAGATGTATCAACATTCGCGAGAGAACTCGGGCAGCTCGTCCGGTAGATCATCGGCGGACAGTAGCGATCTGGAGGAGGATTCTAGTTCGCACAGATTCTCCAGGGTGTTCGTGGTGAACGACGATTCGCTCACCAGCGACAACGATATCGAAGACAACGCGGAGGATGATTCGGATTCCGCGGCGGAAGGCGGTGTAACCTTGAAACGCGTCACCGCGATTCCTGAAGAGGAGCCGGTTGTATTGCAACACATGAAGCTGCTAAATGAGGACGTTTTTATGGAAAATAAATCGGAAGTAAGTGAGAATGAATCGAAAGAATCCAAAAGGCATTCCAAAGCTTACATCGTCGGCGACGCTCGCTGTGAAGACGAAAAGAAATCACTGGATGAACCTGTCGCTAATTTGGCCAATAAACGAAAAAATCGTAACAGGAAGGATGGAATCGATAACGCTGATAACCAACTTCCTCTTCTACTACAGCGTCGATCAATCCCTGAAGAGATATATCTGGCGGATGATAACGAATGTTCTGATAATCGAATCGAATTGAAGTCCATCAGAATGCTCGATCCCGATAGTATCGATCCACCTGTAGACATCTTAAAGACAGACGAGAGATCTATTTCGAAAATATACGGTGAAGAGAAAACCGTCGATACGTTGAGAGAAATTTCGCAGGACGATCTGATCGAACCAAAGTCACCTGCGAGCGACGTCTGGGATCCAACTATCGTTCCGGACTCTCTCGAAATTTCAGTCGTCGAAGACGTAAGCGCCAACCAGCAAGAAAAATCTCGAGTTTACGATGGTGAACAGATTGCGAGATCGATAGTAACGAACGATTGCGAGAGACAAGAAGATAAGAAGCTACTTTTATCGGAGGCGAATTGTTCGAACCGTAATGTCATTATCGACGCGTCAAGTGACAGCTGCACCAGCAACGAGAGCAACACTACAGGGAGCGAAATTAGCAGCGACGAGCTTCACGAGTACGAGGTGACCCCGGCCGAATCATTATTCGATTACAGCAACGAAGTCGCCGCGATTAACGGCAAAGTACTATATCAAATTGATAGGAAGAGTACGGAAGATATTACAAAAGATATCAAAGAGAATGGTTTGCGTCTTCATGATAATCGCGATGGCAAAAGAAGTCCGACGATGACGAAGAGTGACGCGAAACAAAGTCAGTCCGAGAGATCGATCGGTGAGCGAGCTTTGAGTAATTCGTCGATGATCGACGTAAAGGATGATGGCGATGAGGACAACGAAGACGACGACGACGAAGGCTATCGGTCTGTTACGTGTCGTCGCGGTGGCCAAGATGGCGGGGCGAAAGACAACGACCCGACGGCACCGACGGGCGAGGAACAGGTAGGAGTCAATGTGAGCGACGCAATAACCACCAGCAGGATTCAGGAGATGTCGAGGAACGCGGAGGAGCAAGGTGGCGCGGGCGGCAAGATGAACACTGCGCATGACGGCCCGGTGAGAGGTGAGATTGTCGTTCAGGTGGGAGGAAATAGTGATGGTAACAGTGATAGTGGTGGTGGTGGTGATGGTAGCGGCGGCGGTGAGAGCGCCGAGGAGGGGGACGCGACACGGTTTCGCTCAGTCGAGCGACGCCCGTGCACTCGGCAAGAGAATGGATTCCCAGCTGACAGTCAAGTATCGTTCAAGGATCTTGCGAGAGACCCAGCTCAGCATAATAACAGTAGTAACATTTATAACAGTAACAACAGCAGCAGCAGTAATAAATATAGAAGCCTCGTGATGATCACTCAAGAAGCCTCATACCAGCCGGTGAGTGTCGTCACATCGGACACTACAACGCTGCTGCAACCGGATGAGATCCATTCGGTTGGAAGCCAAGGGGGTCTGGCCAGTTACTTTCAACTAGCGCTAGAAGCGGCGAGCGAACCGCAATTTCATCGCAAGAACGCTCCGCGCAAGCCGTTAATGGTGAAGAAACTACCGGCAGTCGCGATTACTGCGACAGGTCATCAATCGGCTGAGCCCGAAGCGGATAGTGGTTTGAGTGTCGGTAGTGCCAGTGAAAGCGACGATGTGTCCGCGTCGAAGAACGTGCCAAAGTCACACAATTGTCGACAGGAGAGCGTCGATGACGTGTCCAAGGATCGTTCGGTGTCGGATTGTCGCGAGAGTACGCGGACACGCGTTTCGTCACAGTCTAGCGACGAAAATTCGAGCGCTGGCGGGGTTATCATACTTGAAGAAGGTCTGGCCGACGATGATTCCTGGGTGGAAGAAGTGTCCCACGACGAAGACGAAACGGGCGCGACTACTGCTACGGAAGAGAGTTCCGAGGATGAAGCTAATAACTTTGGCGATCGCGAAGAGGAGCTCAGAGGCTATCGCAGGCAAGCGATTGATTTTACCTTGCACACCATCGTCGAGGAATCGTGCGAGGAGAGTGAAACAGAGCCCAGTCTGACAGCAGGAAGCCCCTCAAAGAAACCGAGACCACCTTCCGCTTCAGAGCTGGAGAAATACTTCTTCTTCGGATTGGGAGGCGAAGGGAACAACTCCAGCATGGGCTCGCGCGAGGTCGACAGCTTGTCGGAGACCTCGTCGATTTACTCCGAAGGGCTGGAATCGCTCGGACAAGATGAAACTAACGGTATTAATCAGAATCAAGATAGATCGAATACCAGCGATGGTTTTTTGAACTCTTCTAGACTGGAGAAATATTATTTATCCGAATTCCTTGGTTTTGATCAGGATAGAAGAGATTCTGACGGTTCAGTAGGTAGTGATTCCGAAGGTAGACCTAGTCCGGAAGCGCAGAGAAGGAAGAAATTGGTGCGTGCGAGAGGTACAGGCAGATCTCACAGTTCTTCTTTAGATAACCTGTTAGCACTCACGCAGAGTTCGCAGAACTTGAGCTCGCAAAATTCTCTCCAGGATCTGAGTCTCAATCAAGACGCGCAAGAGACTCAGTCTGAAGGTTCCTCGACGGAGACTGATGGCACTGATGACGGTCAGACCGCCGTTTTTGGCACAGACGGTCAGTTTGACACAGTGAAGCGCAAAAAGAAGAAGCCGCGAAATCTGGGAACTCAAAGTCCGCGCGTTCCGGACGATCGAAACAAGACGCCGGAACCCAGCAGAGAAATGACGCTGATGAATGAGATCGTAATGGAAAACGACAACGAGGCGATGAACTCCGACGACTCGGACAGAGCAAAGACTCCACAGCCGGAGTCCATTTTATCTTCGTCTTCCTCGCCGTCTACTCTCACCAATAGCAGTAACACGTTGAACGCGGCTTCGTCTTCGCAAATAGATTCTTCGAGAAATTCAGTTGCAATGAATTCGAGCGACGGTCAGCGATCAAAACAGCAATCGCGGGACTCGGGTTTTGTCGGCAGCTGCGATGATCTTCTTCAGCATCAAAAACTGCCAGATGAGAGTCAAACAAGTGGTATGGAAATTGATCAGAAAATCGGCAAAGATCGCATGCTCAACAAGATCTCGGAACATTCTCAGAACGCGAATCGGAGCTCCGCTGAAGAAGGTGCGGACGGTACGGAAAAGAACAACTTGACGAAACACCCGGTGAATCATGCAAGTCTGCCGCATCTAGCGAATGCTTCACTGTCGCGCAAAGACAGTTTTAACAACTGGTCCAGTGATGAAGAGACGAATCTCATGATGTCGAAAATGCGGCAGTTCTTCAAGACGATGGTGGCCAATTCGAGCGGGCAAATTCCGGGACAGAGCGTCACCAACGCGAATTCCAGCGGTGTCTCGCCGGCACCGAGTCCGCGACTTCCGGGTTATGCCTCGAAGGCGCGTCTTTACGCTCAGAATCGCACCAAACCGCCGCAGTTGGTGTACTTCGAGAACGAACTGACGCGACTGATGAAGACGGTTCCGGGAATACGCGACGAGCAGGTGCGAGAGATTGTCGAGTATCTCAGCTCGGAGGACACGTGGTCGGATTCTTACGACAGCTCGGATTACACTAGTTCCGATCTCGAGGGCGCCGCCAGCGGACGTAGATCGGCCTTGCAAGAGCAGATCTCGCAGAGCTGCCAACAGATCATCAGCAAATTCGACACCACGTCTGGCGGCGGCGGCGGCGGCAGCGGCAGCGGCGGTAGCAATGGTGACGCGACGCTATCAGACAAGGAGAAAGAGCAGATGAAAGGATCGGGACCACGATTGAGTTCCACGATACAAACCGCACCCTGCTTGGGCAGAGATACCGCATTCGTCTACCAAAAGCTGGTGCAGAGTTTCACGAAGATGGCCGGCGACGGCGTGAGCTCGGACGCCAATTCCACGCCGCACAGCAGCCCGCCTCTAATCGCCAAAGTGATGCATCACATCGGCAGCCGATTGGTAGCGCTAATGCACGAGGTTTCGGAAGGTGGTCCAGCTGCGCATCATCACTCCACCACCTGGCGACGGTACTCTCAGCATCATCGGACTCCATCCTCGACGTCCACTACCGAGGATGACGATTCAACATCCGATTCTACCAACGCGCCCTCGTCGATGCATCTGCAGCTGCCAAGGTCGAAGTCACACGACCCGCTGTTGTTGATCAACAGCCACCCGGCAGCCTCTACCGGCCAGGAAGGGGAGGAACGGGAGGCCAGCGATTACGAGAGATTTTCCTGGCGCGGTAGTTTCGAGTCCGCGCTGATGGCCGCCGACTCGAGGACGAAACTGAGCCTGTTGGCATGTTCCGGTGACGTCAGTGGTGGTGGTGGTGGTGGTGGCAGTGCTAGTGCAAGTGCCCTGGCCGCGAAACGGCGCAGCGCCGGTGATCTCTTATTCAATCCGAAGAGTTTCTCCAGGGAGCAGCTGGACAGGGTGAGGAGTTGCGGTTCGATCGGCGGCGGAAGCGGGGGTGGGACTGGCGGAAACGTCGGCGGCTCCGTCGAGGAGAGGATCTGGAGTAACCGGAGGAGATCCTCTGTTCCCGATGCTAACACCAGGGGAGAGTCAGGTGAGCTCGCGCGTGACTATCTCTCTCTATGCGTGCAAGTGAGTGAATGAATGCGATGTGTACATGCGCGCGCGCATATGATCTCCCGCGGATCGTGTTACATCGCGGAAACGACGGTAATTGGCGTTAGAGCTCGATTTTGCTTCACCGCAATTCCGTGGCTTGTCCGAACATTCCTTTTCCGCAATTACGCTACAGCGCGGACTGAACATGGTTGGCCGCCACGGTCAGATCACTCCCGATAATGGGGGTTATATTTTATTTTGGAATAAGAGAACATGAACGCGCGCAAACTAATTTAACTTAATTATACTTACATATATTTGGTAAATTAAGTCGGAATTATTTTACGCTGCACGCGATTCTGTTTTAGTTTGCTCTATAATAAATAAAAATAAGTGTAAGTAGTAAAATTATATGAGGAAAAGCAACATTGAAGTAAAATAACGAAAGTATTAATTATATATTTTTCAAATATTTTACGAGTTATTTACTGATATGTTAGATTATTAAATTGTGTTTTTTTGTTGAGTATTGTAGAATACGAATCGGTAAGAAAAACATTTCAATGCAAAACTCATTATGAACGCGAGATTAATTAAATTATTCAAATCTGCGATAATTTTTGATATGTATACAGGGTGTCCCGAAATTAAATATCAAAACATTAGGAGCGTGTAAGGTATCGATGAACTAAGAAAAAAAATCCTTTAGATATTTGCACGTTTTTGCTTTGTTTTGTTTTAAAGAAAATCGCAAAAAAAGAAACAAAAAAATTTTCATCAAAAAGCTTAAAACATCATTAAAATTATTAGATTTATCGAAAAGTAGTATGAGATAAAAGTTATAGAATATGGAATTAAGAAAAGAGAGTGAATTAAAATCCGCTTGAAATAAAATTAAAGGATTATAAATAAATATACGACAACGTGAGATTATTGTATTCTATTTACTTTAGCTTATGTTTACATTCCTACTGTCATTAAGGAAGTGATAACATGAATAAATAAATGTAAGTAAATAAGTAAACTGAAAGGAAAAAAGCTCTTATTTTTCTCTTATTTATTACTTATTTAAATAATAAATATTTAAGAGTAAACAGAATACAATGATCTCGCGTTGTCGTGTATTTATTTACAATCCTTTAATTTTATTCTCAACACAATCCAAGTACGAGCCATTTCTCTTCCAGAAGTGACACGTGGCACAAGATAACATTGCGCTCATTATATTATGTATATTCCTATTATATTATACATCCCAAATACATCGATATCGTCAATACCATCCGGTTAAAAAAAAAAATCGATTGTTAATCGTCACAGGTGCATCAGCCGGCGATGAGGACACCGAGGACGAATTGGAATACGGCGGAGAATCGCGAGCGACGACCCTTCCACGTGGCATGCAATCCGCCATCAGCGCGGCCACCAATTCCCTGCCGCGACTACCGGCCGGATCGGGTCCGCCGACAGGTCTGACGATGACGACGACGACGATGTCATCGTCGACATCGTCGTCCTCGTCGCCGATGCACAAAGCGCACAGCGTCTACCACTTCTTGCCACAGCACAGCGGCGTGAAATCCGCCCGGTATCGGCCACCTGGCTTCGCCAGGAACAGCAACGTTGGGCCCGGGGCGATCGGCAGCGGGCCCAAACGCGCCGTCAGCGCGCCGGGTCTTCAAGTTTCGGGCTCGCAATCGGCCGCCAACAAACGGGACAACTCGCGGTCGAGGAGGCAGCAGACGATGTCGCTTACGTCGGGTAAGTCTTCCTCTTTTTTAAATATCTAGGATCTGTTTTTATAGCTGAACTGGCTGAAATGCAGCCAGTTCAGCTATAAAGAACAGACGCCTAGTTACGTGAGGAGAATTTCAAATATCTTTTATTGAATCTATATTTTAGACTATATTGTATATTGTATTAATTTCTTTTACTATTGCCTTTTTCCTCGCGAAATCTCTCTTGATAGAATTAAATAAAAACGAAGAATTAAATAAAAAACGAAGATGAATAAATGAGAAGATAGCAATATTTTAAATAGGGATGCCTGTTTTTATATGACACACATTGGAATTTTTATTTTATTTATTATTTATACATCTCAGAATTTTAAGCAATTTCTCTGTATTTTAAATTTGAAGTTCCCATGAACTTTCTCGCATAAAACTTATGGAAGAAGTCGATGGAGAATTTAAAGGTAAATCACACAATGAGAGAGAGAAAGTGTGCGACTTTTGATACAGTCTTGATATAGCCATCAAGTATACTGCAGCAGTCTCATTATATGATAGAATCGTAAAATGATACGAGTGATTATAATTGGCATTTAATTTGGTTTGATGAGATCAAAATCAATTCATAAATTCATGCTTATTCTTGAAGAATTTTGTGAAGCAAATTAAACACACGATTAAAAAAATACATTTATTTTCTTTATCATACAATATTGTATACATATATATATATACATCTAAGTTAAAATCAATTACGAAAAATATATCTAATACACATATATGTATTTATACATACATACATATATATAATATGCATGAAAAAAATTTGTAGATGAATTTAATAACTGGCTAAACTGTCAAGTTAATTGAATTAATTACAATTAACAAATCAGAGTCAGCTACTACTTTTACATCTACATTTTTCGTTTTATTTTTTTTATATATGACATTTTATAACTATAATAAAGAAAATAGAAAGAAATATCTTATATCTGAACATATCTTAAATCTGAGAGATGCATCTTGAGAGATTGGAGAAAGCGCAAATGAATGAAAGGAAATTTTGTCGGTGGTATATGTGATTCCCCCGTGTGATAAATTAGGCAGCTGCGCGGTATCGTCACGCACACGTGGCGCGCGCCATGCAAATGATTAGGTGTAAATATGAAATTATGGTGAGCGTCGTCATAATGAAGAATGAGGGCGGGAGAAACCGTTTTTTAAGCATTCTTCGTAAGTAACGGCGAGGAAAGTTCGCGGCGAAATTCAAAACGCGCGCATATCGCTAACTCTTTCTACGAGATCTCGATCATTATTGTAACATTCTATCTCTGCATCATTTTTTTTTTTTTTCGATGTTAATCTAGAAAATGATTCTGATTTAAATTTGACAAGTAATTTATTAAACTAACGTTCTCTGTAATATGCTTTAAATACTCTCCGTTAAGTGTATATCTAGTAATTACCACGTTATGCCCAATTAGGCCTTTCTGATTGCTTAAAAGGAATCGCCTATCACTTCAAGACTCTGAATGATCCGATTGTGAGATACCCTTTATACGTACGTGTACATTTTACACACAGTGAACGTGTATGAGGTGTGATTTTATTTTTGTAAAGAGAGCAACGCGAATAGAGTGGCAAATTCCTTTGTCTTTATCAAGAGTTGAAAACATTGCGAAAAGCGGAACAGTTGTTGCGAAAACGTGCTATTCATCGCGTGAAATTTGGTGTAATAACAGATCTGAGTTAACTTTAATGACTTCGTTACATTTGCCTTTTCTCCTTTCTTTTGTGACGAATTAAAATTCAATTACTATTACGTCAAAAATACCTATTGTATCATCTCGCGCTGAAAAGTTCCACTTTCCGAATTTATCGAGAAGTATTTTTCTAGTTAATACCTGATTATAAAACACGATCGTGACATGCAACCTTTGCAAGAGAGTGCTTTTTACCCTTCCGTCAATAATGGGTTATATATATCTTAGAAAAAAAATAATATATATAAGAATATATAGGAAGCAATTTTTATAATACGTTAGAAAAAAAATTGTATTGGAAGTATGAGTTATAAGATCGATGAATGGTTTATATAAAAATTTTTATAAAAGAGAGTTTTAATCTTAAATACAGATAAATATGTAGAGAAGCAGAAAATATATATAAGTTTAAAAATATTTTAAGATATTTATATCAATATAATCTCTCTCTGCCTCCTCTCTCTCTCTCTCTCTCTCTCTCTCTCTCTCTCTCTCTTTTAGAAATTAAATTCTACAAATTATAAAATAAAACAAGCAAGCACTTTTAGAAAGAGGAATACGATTATTAAAAAAGAATACAAAATAATAAATTTATATTATAATAAAAAATACACTGAATTTTATATACATATGAATACAATTTATTAATATAAAATTTTATTAAATAAAATTATTGTGTTAAATTTAAACCATATTAATATAGTAATAATAAACCAATAGTAGATCATATTAATTTATATGCAAATTTGAACTTTATTGATATCTCTCTATTTATTTATTCATAATTTATTTATTAAATTTCGAGGTTGAAGGGATGGAAGGGGCCTAACCTGAAAAAATATCAATAAATGAATTTCCTGGATTAGCGTCCTTCCGCTTCTTCGAGATACAGGAACACCCTTGTCGGGTTTTTTTTCTCGTAAGAAAAAAAACTCTCTCGCTGCTTGTTTCTGCAGCGTGCACATTTTTTATGCGCGACAAGTAGAACGCGCGCATTGATAATACCTACCGCGCGCTCGCGTTCAGGTGCTCGCTCGAGTGTGACAAGTGCAACTGCTTTATTATGAGGTTTCCTTTCTTTTCTCCGACATCCCTGGCGAGCCCCGGGTACGCGTATATACAGGGTGTCTTAGAATTAGACCGACAAATTTCAGGTAGTTATAAAAGACACCAAAACAAGCCAATTTTGTCAATAAACCTGTGTCCGCAAATAAGCCGTTTTGGCATTAGAGAATCAAAGATTAAACAGGGCAAAGATCTTTGAAAAATATTATTTTTTCAAAATTTTATTAATGTGGTTAAATAGAAATGTTATTACCATGAAACTTTTGCATAAAACTTTTTTTGATATCTTGAATAATTTTCGAGATATATCGAGAAAAGCAAAAAGCCGCTCTACATATGAGGGGTGATTTAATCCCTTAGAATCATTTTTGGGATACAACTGGAAATTTCTAAATTCATCTATTTATCCCTACTATATGTGTGTAAAGTTTCATAAAAATCAGAATTTTCGGATTCGCGAGGTTCCCTTATTAGTCTTTGACTCTCTAGTGCCAAAACGAATGATTTGCGTACATTTTATTGGCAAAATTGGCTTGTTTTGGTATCATTTACAACTATCTGAAATTTGTCGTTCTAATTCTGGGACACCCTGTATGTATTGTACATACAATCGATAATGCCACGCAGCGCCGACCACTCCTCGCACTCTCCGTACGCACTCCACGTGCGCGTGTAACGTTGAACCTTTCTCGCATCACCAACGTAAGAGTGCAACATTCGCGTTGCACGCAACAGCATTGTAAATCGACGCATTCGCTCGCGATGCATTCCACTTTTTTCCTCAGGTTTCCATTTTTTCTTTTTATTTTTAAAAGATTTACATATATCGATTATTATTTATATCTTTCAATCGAATGAAGCATGGTTTATATACTTTCATGTATACCTCCCCCTCTGTAATTTGCCGGCTTATCGATCGACAAAATAGGTCATATCACATCACTCAAAAAAGTGGTATTGCAACTACAGCAAAAATTTTCTGGGTGCGCAAAATTAACTGAGGTACATAAATGATTAGCAAATACTGTGATATCGCATATGTTTCGCATTTAATCAATCTAAGTGACAGAGACAGAATTTATATCTGAACTGTTTGTGAAATTTAGAAAGAATGTTTTTCTGTGGCGCCTATCCATGTTAAGGCCAATCATACTTGTTATAAAGTTTGGCTGTGGTACACAAAAAAAAATTAGCGGCAAGAAACAAATGAATATATAATCCTCACATGTAACATATTTGTATAACGCGCCCAATCTATCTAGCTCTTTTAAACAATTTCTCTCAATTTTTCGATGCTGCAGTTATAATTGGCAGTTATATTTCTTACAAAGATCGTTCTAGCTGTAGTATCGAAACTCATATTTATCCAATGCAGTGATTAACATTTGGCAATGGGACCTAAATTTTCTAGAAGATATTATTAGAATATTGCTGCTATAAATTCTATATGTAACAGACAATATTCTAACAGATACAAAAAATAGCGATAAAGTTTTGTTGTGACACCTAGAAATCTACCTATATCAGCAAGACATTTTTTTGAGTGCAATGTTTGCCGAGCATTGACCTAATCCACTTGCGAGAATGTAAATATCTTTCGATAATAATCTAGCCTGTGTATTTCTTTTCCTATGATAACAAGTTGTCGCAGTTGGAAAGACATCGGTTAGAGAGAAGTTACAAATTTAGACAACTGCTCCAAAATGTATGTGTTTGTTAATATAAATGAGTCCACAATATAAAATAAAAAAAATATATATATATATATATATATATATTCATAAAAAAAAAGTTAGCGGGTCGAATAAAATCTTTTAAATTAAAATTTTTTCTGTGTCTCGTATTTCTTGGTGCTCGCTCGAAAATTTTAAGATAGAACTATGAAACCCTGATGTTTGACGCTGAAAGAACCAATACAGATAATTATTGTCTCACACAGACGGAGCCGTTCGACGATCCGGTCGCGTACAAGGGCGAGGTGATCGTCGGCCTGAAATTCGTCCCCCCGGATCCGGTGCAGCAAGAACGCGATCAAGAGAACGGCGCGGAACGTGGCGGAATTTCCAAGGCGAAAAAAAACTGGAGCCGCGGTGCGCTCCACGTGCTCGTCAAGGAGGCCAGAAACCTGCAAACGCGCGGCAAGAATTCGGGCACCTGCGATCCTTTTTGCAAAAGGTATTCTCCCTTCCTCTCTTTTCTCCCTACTTTGAATATTATCAGTATATATATTTTTATTAAGACATATAGTATATGTAATTGAAAAATACTATTTATACATTTTGGGCGATTTTTTAATTTTCCTATTTTTATTTTATTTGATTTTTTTTTCTCTATTTAATTTAAATATTATTATATTATGCTTTTTTTACAAAAGTAAAAAATAAAATTCTTATTCATAAAATTATTTATAATTCATTTAACTTTTTATAGAGAGCAACTTGTTATTGTTATTTTTTGCGCATCACTCTTTTGGATCATAAATTCGCAATATTTTTAATAATTTTTTAGAATTTTTAGTTCTTTTAGAAAATTCTCTTACAATTTCTATATAAATAATTTCTTTCAGCTATTTGCTCCCCGACAAAGGCCGATCCGGTAAGCAGAAGACCGGCGTCGTTCGTAGATCTGTCGGTTCGCCGGTTTGGGGTCACACGTTTATTTACAAGGATGTCAGTTTGCAAGAATTGGCAGAACGCGGATTAGAATTAACAGTCTGGGACCACGATCGAATCGCCAGCAACGAATTCCTCGGCGGGGTTCGATTTAATCTCGGTACCGGTATGTATAAAAGAGCCACATAAATAATCCAAAGAAATTATACATATCTAGAGATTATAATTATCTTTTTTCAATTAAATTGAATTGATCTCGACAGGTATAGCAGATAATATCTTTCCTACACACATATACAAAAAAAAGAATCTCAGCCACACGATTTAATTATAAAATGTCATATTTGTTTGCGTTCGATCTTTTATACTCCAAAGATTTGCTAAAGATCTTTTCTTGCATTTTTCTTTTGACAATATAATCTTCATTTCAGGGAAGCATTATGGAAAGCCGGTGGATTGGATGGACGCGACCGGCCGCGAATTATCCCTGTGGCAGAACATGCTCGAGAGGCCGAATTTCTGGGTCGAGGGCGCGGTGACGTTGAGGCCGAATTTGCACAATCACGGGAAGAGCAACGGCTCTTAAAAGCAGCAAACGCGACGCAATGAAACACGATAAGGATTCGCTCCTTAATTCTCATTTCCGAGATAGGAGCCGAGGTTCGGAAGTGCCGATTTAGTCCAAGTCGATTGTATGTACATAGCTCTAAAAGCGTCGCGCTTACGTCGAGCGTATTCTAAATAATCGTGAATAATAATGAAAAATCAGTGCCTTCGGGAGCAACGTAAACTCGTCTGATATTTCTTGAACGAGCCTATGGAGGAAAATTTCCTGCGAACTTCCGGTCCACTGCGAAGATCATCAATTTAGTATATCATTGCCGCAGTTCCGGCAATTATTATATAATATAATAATTGTGAACTAATTTCTTTTGGGTTTTCTGCCTTTTCTTATATGTTGCGCTATTAACTTCTATATAAACCTATATATTTTTGAATTTCTATGAAAGTTTCACATAAAATTTCTGTTATATATCATTTCTAATGAGATCGCACATTGCACAAAATAGTTGCTTTCCTGGTTTCTTTTTAAAGAAAATTAGAAAATACAGTTAATTTCATAAATCATTTTCCTTTGTTTAGCGATAAAAATGATAAAATAATTGGCTATACATTAGACTTTTTTGCTCGCTTGTGTATTTTCCGTTATATCTTTTTTTACGCAAAGCCGGAATTCGTAACAACTACATAACATAATTGACGTGCCAAACATGAAAAGTTGTGGCGAATTCGTGCTGCGATTAATTTCTTTAATATTTATATATTTTTCAGGTTGAAGAGTTTTACATTATTAGATACAACTTGCTTAGTTTCAATGTTATTGAGTCTTTAAAAAAAATATTGTTTATTTTATTTTCATAACCATCATACTTTTCTTTCTTCGCATATTTTCAAATTATGAAAATTACAGCGAGACATATTTTTCTTTTCTATTTTGAAGCTGCTTTACGTTATATATTTTTCCTTATTATTTTCGATTGCAATTATTACAAAGCATACTAATACAAACTGTGCAAGTAATTTAATTAATAAAAATTCGTGCAATATTATAAATCATCGACGATATTCTTGAGAAAATATTCTTAGGTTCTTAAGAATCCCGAAACGGGGATTAGGAGCGAAAGTGCGTCCGTACAAACAGTTGATAGAATAATTACTATCAGCATCTACGGACATATAAGTGTAAGTTCTTCGCTATCCGCGAATAAACAAATTAGAAATGGCGAATAAGTTTTCGCTAAGTTCCAAACGTTGAATCGCCAAGTATTTTCAAATTTTGCGAAATTCTATCTCACAAAAAAGGTATCTGAAAAATAATTTGATAGTGCACAAAAATAATTCACTAAAATTTTTAGTCTCTACATATGCGCGTTGTAAGTCAATATAGCTACGGAAATAAAAAAAAACTGTAATATATTATGTTATATATACAAATACATATTGCGAATATATATGAAAAATTGTAAAAAGCAAATGAACGGAAGAACCGAATTACGTTTTTATATTTTGAGATCATCAATTTTAGAATTTGATGAAAACACACCGTATAAAAGATTATATATATATGATATATGATACATTGGATTCTTGATGCGCACGGTTTTAGAAGAACTATTTTTCTCTAGATTGTTAAAATAATAATTAATGTATAATCGAAATAAACAGACCACGATTATACGCATTATTATTGGATATCTAAATAAGGAATAGCGGGTTAATTAAGAGCTGGGCGCGGTAAATAGTGCGCGAATTATTTTTATATATGTTTCTTTATTATGAAGGCTTATTTTTTTGCTTTCACAAATAATCAATTGTTCTTCCAATTCTTTTCGTTTAATGCATTCCTCTGACAAAGATTTGGAGTTGCAGAAACTCGTATTAATTTCTGTTGTAAATTTTTAACTTTGTCACTTAGGACTCTTCTCTTTTGCAAAACAGTATATATATATATATAAGAAACCTATATAAAAATAATTCGCGCACTATTTACCGCGCCCGGCTCTCAATTAACCCGCTATTTCTTAATCAGATATCCAATAATATATAATCGCGATATATCATATATGTATATCGTTTTGCAAAAAAGAAGAGACCTAAGTGATAAAATTAAAAATTTACAACAGAAATTAATGCGAGTTTCTGCAACTCTATTCTTCAAATTTTTGTCAGAGGGACGCATTAAACGAAAAGAATTGGAAGAAATTATTTGTGAAAGCAAAAAATAAGCCTTCATAATAAACAAGAAACATAACATAATAAAAATAATTCGCGCACTATTTACCGCGCTCAGCTCTTAATTAGCCCGCTATTTATTACTCAGATATTTAATATCGGAGTCTTTCATTTTATATATACATTATTGGTTTTCTAATTTATATATATACAAACGTTACTCACTTTAATATTTTCCACAAAAAAGAAGCAAGTAACAGAAATCCGCTTTCTTTTACATTTGCGCTCCCTTAATCTACACATTTGAAGCTAAAACAATTTACGTTTTTTATATAACATCCGTGAATAATTTTTATGTTTAACTTTTATATAACTCATATTTGTTAATATTTATGTTTTTTTTGAATGTAATTATAATGTATGCGTATAACGTTACGGTTTTTCGGAGTTGCGATATCGGAAGTATAACATGAAAAGGAAGTGAAAGAGAGAGTTAAAAACATGAAAAGAGAGAGTATTTTTATATTAATTCTTTTATATTCGATTTGAAGAATAATTAATATTATACAAGATAATTTTTTTCTTCTATCGATATCAATCGCTATCGCTCCAAACTCAACGCGTATTATTTATTTTAATAGCATTAGATTAATCTTTATTCGCCGATGAAATTCAGCTTTTGCTGTTTGCGAATAGAACCTCACATGAAATTAAGGTCCTTGCCACTCCCGTTTCCAGCTGCGCCTGCCGCAGATCGATAACGGAGGTAACCATCTTCTAATTTGTGGTTCGGGGGATGAAATCTCAGAGTTACACGAAAACCAAAATCATCGTACAATTATTCAATTATGCAAGTTTAAAATATTATAAGTAAAAGATTTATTATTATTTTTTTTAAATATATATTTTACTTTTTAAACTCTTGAATTATCCAAAATTAAATAATTTGATGTCAAGATATTTTTTTATCTTAATTTTTTCCAAAAAGAAATTCTTGAAATTCCCGAAAGACATTTCTGTATTTACGTCGATACGGCAACGCAATAATACCGTAAATGCCTTTTTATAGTACATTCGTCGCATTACACGCACTGCACGTTTGCAACTTCCGACTCGCGGAAAACTCCATATTCGTTCGCACTCACTCATCCTTTTTTGCTCGTTAGAGATCGGCCGGCGACAGGTTTACGTTCGACATCGTAGGCTCTATACGAGTTTATATTATGTTCACCGGCGGCCATCGGTTACGTTATTGCTCTTAAAACCAGATCGATTTTTCCAGCGTATAAAGACTAATGTGTTTCTCAATCATCGCTTTGCGCCGTCAGCAATGCAGGATATTCGAGTTATTTTGTTTTCTTTGAAAGGTTTTTAATAGCCAATAACTACATACATATATATATAAGAAAGAGAGAGAGTCTAAGAAGGGTACATAATATTTAAACAATAAAAAGAAATAATTTTATAAATCTTTAATAAAATAATTTTTTAAATATTTTTAAAATACTTTAGAAAAATATTATTTTTATTTCTTAAATATATATTTTATTAAATATCTAGTCAACACACATATAATAAAAAGTTTCCGGTCTTTCATGTTTTTCGAGAGAACTTTATTTCTACTCTATTGAAAAGCATGAAAGAAATTCTTGAAAAAAGAAACAGGGACATTAATTCTTTCTTTCTCTCCCTTTTTCTCAGAAAATGAACGAATTATGAAAAGGATGTTGGCATTAAGAACGTAAGAATGTCGTTGAACCGATCATTGGCGCGAGTTTTGGAATGCGTGTCAAGCTTTTTGCACAATTGCTGAAACGGTTCTTTGCTGACAACCATGAAGCACGATGTTACGCTTCTGCTCGCAACACATCTTTCAGATTCCTACAGTTACGATCCGCGCATCGAGCGATTAACGAAACTCGTACAGATAAAAAATCGTATGAAATAAAATGCAATAATGCGATTAATTTTTGTGAAATAATTCTTTTCCGTGAAAGTTTACTAAAAGTTTTCTTCACACATATTAAATGACTTTAACATTCGTTTAGCTTTTATTTTAACATTTATTCTTATGAAAAAAGTTAATAAAATAAAAAAAGAGTATTTGAAAAAATAATTACAGCTCCTTTTAAAAAATCTAAACATTTTTAGGAATATGTGATTTTGGATAAAATTCACGATACATTATACTGTTTGTTATGTAAAAACAAATTGAAAAAATTGAAAAAAATATTGGAAAAATGACACGCTTCTTTCATGCTACACTATTGAAAAATTTTGTATAAAATCAACATATTTTTTATAATAAAATTAACTTGGAAAAATGTTATTGACGATCTGCAGTCACTCTCACTCTTATTATAGAATAAAATCAACATTTTTTCCTGTAAATTTTAACGGATAAATCCTGTCACTAATAATGCGGAACATATCTATTGGGTAAAATTAAAAACATAAAATCAACATTTTTTCCTGTAAATTTTAACGGATAAATCCTGTCACTAATAATGCGGAACATATCTATTGTGTAAAATTAAAAACATGTGCACATTGTGCTATTTTTATACTTTTTTCAGTTGTTTTAATAATTTAAAATTTGACAGCAATTTGAGTTTAATTAATACAACAGCAATATGTTAACACATGAACGTGTTAAACATTTAACACGAAAATTTTAATCGGCATATTTTTTAACAAAACACAAATTTTCCAACAGTGTACAAGCGTCTATCATGGCGATATCCAGGCTTCGATAGAGTAATTCGATAGTTGAAAGTGCGAGAGCTACTGCGCGTGCGGAAACATACCGATCTGCGTGCATTCCCTTACACGAGGTTCCAGATATATATATATAATGTTCATTATGTAACCAACCAGTATTTCAAACACGATCAAATAACGATGATGATTTATTTGTACCTAAAACAGAGATGTTTGCTAAATTTATAGATGTTTTGAAAAGACATTCCACAGAAGCCGCTAATCGACTTGACTCAAATCCTTTTTAATCTTGATATCACGTCAAGATTACTGTTGCTGCACGTGACTTGGCGCGAGACACTACAGTGTCTCTTAACATAGAATGCGACATTCATAAACATTGATAATTTATCAATAATTTGTCATTGGTAACTGTTAATTTGTCACTTTCCATGCATGTGAATGTGGAGAACACTGTTTCCTAAATCTCTTAGAAAAACTTTATCTCCGTGATAACTTTGTCATCGAAGCTAGTGCTTATGACCATTGAATGACAATTTAAGCAAAATAAACGTATTATTTTCGACCAAAATCGATGAAATGGTGGATCCTTATAAAAATCATCTTTCATTGAAAAAATAATTATTTGTGCGATAAAGGAATAATAATTCATATATGTAATGGAGAATCCAAGTATTTTATAAAAATAGAATACGTTTCTTTCGTTCATTTGCCTTTTATCTGCCGAGTAAATTATTCGAGACTTATAAGTAAAGAGTTCAGCGTTTAGAACGTTTGAATTTTGTGGACACTTTCCTTTCTTGGAAAGAAAGATGCTTCCAGCAAATAGGTACAATAGAAATGAGTGAGTCCCTGGAGCGAGTGAGCGAGGGAACGTTGTATTTAAGAGATTTAAATATGACCGCTTCCCTTTTCACAATTTGAATGCGAACACATTCTCGCATAAATATATATATATATATATATTAGGAATATGTGATTTTGGATAAAATTCACGATACATTATACTGTTTGTTATGTAAAAACAAATTGAAAAAATTGAAAAAAATATTGGAAAAATGACACGCTTCTTTCATGCTACACTATTGAAAAATTTTGTATAAAATCAACATATTTTTAATAATAAAATTAACTTGGAAAAATGTTATTGACGATCTGCAGTCACTCTCACTCTTATTATAGAATAAAATCAACATTTTTTCCTGTAAATTTTAACGGATAAATCCTGTCACTAATAATGCGGAACATATCTATTGGGTAAAATTAAAAACATGTGCACATTGTGTTATTTTTATACTTTTTTTTCAGTTGTTTTAATAATTTAAAATTTGACAGCAATTTGAGTTTAATTAATACAACAGCAATATGTTAACACATGAACGTGTTAAACATTTAACACGAAAATTTTAATCGGCATATTTTTTAACAAAACACAAATTTTCCAACAGTGTACAAGCGTCTATCATGGCGATATCCAGGCTTCGATAGAGTAATTCGATAGTTGAAAGTGCGAGAGCTACTGCGCGTGCGGAAACATACCGATCTGCGTGCATTCCCTTACACGAGGTTCCAGAGAATAATTCTGGTAGTGAGTACTTTAATTGCTCTCGGATACGCAATAGCGTTTTCTAAAGGAAAGATACACCGGTGTGGGATTCGTCATATAAAAGGGTAACACAAATAAAACGGGAACGACGATTGTATGCTAAATATATGTATATAAAAGCGCAGCATTTTTTTCAAGAGAGAGATTTATGTAAGAGCGTTTGTTACAATTAACATCTTATCGAAATAAAAAGATACAGAGAAGAAGAGAGAGATGGAAATTTAATTACCGCGAAAATAATTGAAATAAGTATAATTGAATAATTGAATAAGTATGAAGAGAAAAATTTAATGCATATTAATTGCATAATCCCTTCTGAGGTCTCCTTTATAATTATACTTATGACTAACGGATAATTTGTTCGCCTAGTCGGTCAAACAAAGTTCTCGTGTTAGCCGAGATATGGCAGAACTTTCGCCTACACTATCAGTGCGTAGTACTGTGGTCCCGGATACGGGGTGATCACGTGCAAACACGCATATGGTTTAATCGAGTAACGTGTAGTGTTTTCCATACGTTGAAAATCGTCTTCGTAAAAATAGAGAGAGAAGGAGAGAGATCCTCAGGTGGCAAAATTTTTAAACAAGAGACAAACGCGCGTGATTATTCGCGTCTGGCAGTATCAGGTAAAATCTAATTAACTTTTCCCATCTGGTGTCGTGAAATATGAACAATATAAAAAGTGTGTACAATGATCGATCTTAATTTTAGTGACAGGATATCTCTTTATGACAAGATTAGACGTTGAAGAAGGATAATAAATCTAAAAGATACACTGAAAAAAATGTACTAAATACAAATAAATTTTTTTTAGTAAAAAAAATTATTTATTTAAATACTTGAAAAGGAATTAGTTATTTCAATCAAGCAGCAAATATATTTGAATTAGTAAATTATATATAAAATGAAAGCAAAATATGTTTTTATTTGCAAATAAAAAAAAAATGTTTTTTTATTTTTAGCTGTTTGTTGTAAAAAATACAGGTTTTATTTATTTTAATAAATATTACATGCAAATAATAATTTATTTAATATAACAAAACATTTTTGGATACATAGTATAAATTTATTTAAGTAGAAAAAAATTAAAATTAACAAAATATATTTATTTGATTGAAAAAAATTTTATTTTTAGTGTAGAAAATTCAATTTATTTACAGAAAAAGAAAAATTATTAGGGAATTTAGAACGAAATTATTAATTATTAATTGAAATAATAAAATATTATATATAATAGTAATATACATATGTATAATAATATTTTGAGATATCTAACAATAAATATAAAGAAAAATAATCGTATCTGCGTCATGTTGGTGTAATAGACCTTCTGTCTGATGACGAATGTATTGCAGTTGATAGACAGTGTACAGGTGCTCATGAAAGTTATTTTTTTTTTCATACAGTGCGCGGAGATACGCAATACATTCACCTTGACACACATTCGCCTAAACCCGTTTAGAAGTTTACCTCAGATCGAATCGATCCGCGTATCCGATCCTATCGTGGTGAAAATGTTATCGCGATTAGGATGCAGCCGCGAAAACAATGGTTATCAGTGAATAGCGTTATCTAACGTTTAATTGCTCATTACTTCAACGTTACTCAGCACAATGTACAACGGCGATTGTCTCGAGTACGTATATGTATATGTCATTGTTTTCGTAACGCCATCCTATGTTTGAACGGTACCAATATTTAGAAATTCTTATCTTTTACATTCTTTTTTTCTCGCAAATCTATGTATTGAGCATATCGTCTTATAATACGATGAATTTGTACACTGTTGAAAATTTGTGTTTTCTTGTTAAAAAATATGCCGGTTAAAATTTTTGTGTTAAATATTTAACACATTCATGTGTTAATTTGACATATTGTTGTTGCGTTAATTACATTTGCTTAAATTATTAAAATAATTGAAAAATAAGTATAAAAATAACACAATGTGCATATATTTTTAATTTTCCACAATAGATACAATATATTCTATATTATTAGCAACAGGATTTATCTATTAAAATTTCCAAAAATAATGTTGATTTTATTCTACAATAGAAGTGAGAGTGACTACAGACTATCAATAATTTTTCCAAGTTATAATTTTATCATTAAAAATATGTTGATTTTACACAAAATTTATTTCAAATTTCTATGAAGTTTGCATTCATTTTGTGTTGAAATATTAATATAATATTCACATATATAGTGTCACACTATTTAACATATCCATATTATGTTAATTTAACAAAATATATATATATAATGTTCATTATGTAACCAACCAGTATTTCAAACACGATCAAATAACGATGATGATTTATTTGTACCTAAAACAGAGATGTTTGCTAAATTTATAGATGTTTTGAAAAGACATTCCACAGAAGCCGCTAATCGACTTGACTCAAATCCTTTTTAATCTTGATATCACGTCAAGATTACTGTTGCTGCACGTGACTTGGCGCGAGACACTACAGTGTCTCTTAACATAGAATGCGACATTCATAAACATTGATAATTTATCAATAATTTGTCATTGGTAACTGTTAATTTGTCACTTTCCATGCATGTGAATGTGGAGAACACTGTTTCCTAAATCTCTTAGAAAAACTTTATCTCCGTGATAACTTTGTCATCGAAGCTAGTGCTTATGACCATTGAATGACAATTTAAGCAAAATAAACGTATTATTTTCGACCAAAATCGATGAAATGGTGGATCCTTATAAAAATCATCTTTCATTGAAAAAATAATTATTTGTGCGATAAAGGAATAATAATTCATATATGTAATGGAGAATCCAAGTATTTTATAAAAATAGAATACGTTTCTTTCGTTCATTTGCCTTTTATCTGCCGAGTAAATTATTCGAGACTTATAAGTAAAGAGTTCAGCGTTTAGAACGTTTGAATTTTGTGGACACTTTCCTTTCTTGGAAAGAAAGATGCTTCCAGCAAATAGGTACAATAGAAATGAGTGAGTCCCTGGAGCGAGTGAGCGAGGGAACGTTGTATTTAAGAGATTTAAATATGACCGCTTCCCTTTTCACAATTTGAATGCGAACACATTCTCGCATAAATATATATATATATATATATATTTATATATACATATACGTATACACAAGAAACTCGCCATTCATATATGTATGTATCTAAAAATGAAGTTTTCTTCCGGTAATTCCAGAATGACCGTAACAAGCTTGTATTTTCGTAGTGTACGATTACGATTGCATTCAGCGATCCATTTTTTTTGCATCATTCTGTATGTACTTAGCGTTAAATGTTCTGTGAGATCCGATATCTATCTTAAATAACATTTAATAATTTCAGTCACATTTAGCGTTAAATGCTGGAGCGTGTTATAGATACGGATCGATGACTGTCGAATGTTCCATCATAAATCGAAAGATCGAACTGACATATATACGTACTTAATTGTTTTCTTATACCTTTGATTATATTTGTGAGTGTGACATCGTAAGTTGTTGTGTATTGTTAGTTATAAAAGACTCTCTCTCTCTCTCTCTTCCTAAAAACAGGGTTTTAACGAAAGGAAACTATATAAAACTGCCTTTAACATTACGTAGGGATTCAAGTGATGTGCGTAAGCTCCCTGCAAAAAAATAGATGAATAAAAAAAGTTTTACTTAGATATATTGATTATGTCTGTCAATCTCTAGCGCTTGGTGCAAATTATATTGTCAAATATGATATATTTAAAATAGGAAATTTTTAGTTTAAATATGTGACTCGATATAGAAGAAAACGGTTTCTTTGATTTATCTCTTGTGGGATTTAAATAGAATAATTAAGAAATAACAAAGATATGACTCATTTAAGGAATTATAAAGCCAAACACTCCGCGATGGAGGAAATATAAGAAATTTATAATGTAAGTAAATTAAATTTCTTATACAAATTTTTAATTCAGCTATTTTTTGCAGGACCAATATTTGTGTGGTAGATTTAAAACTAACACAAATTCTCTGAGAAATATATATAGATATAGTTATATATACATACATAAGATTTCAATATTCTCGAAATATTGAATTTAGTGTCGTTGCGATAATTGTACGTCGAGTATATTTACGGACCAATAGCAATAGAAACTCGAAGAATTTACTACGATAACCCGTTACGTTTTCTATCTCGATAAAATCCCCAAGTTACTCTACGGTATGTTTTAGTCCACTTAGAGTACTTAATATTACGGAATGTAATGTTAAAACTTATGTTAGAGAATCAGACATTTATTTATATGTCGTTTGTCGGTGTGTATATGATAATAAAAATTTTATACGTTTACTCGTATATGCTTCTCGTGATTTATTAATTTCGAGTAAGCGCATTTATAAACGCAAGTTAGGCACATTATTATTCGAGAAAAATATGCATGAATCGTTACATACACTATTGAAGAATTGTGAAGTTTACCTAAAAGAAGAGCGAAGTTATATGAATTATCGTACTATAAAAAATATAGATTTATTTTACGTTTGAAATTATACAATAGCACGATGATTTAAACAATTTTATTTATAATCTTAATTTTTTAATTTTATTCTCAACAAATCATTTTTAAAATAATATTATATATTTTTTATTACATTTTTTTAATTGAAAATTTTAATCTTATTTTTCGCGAAAAAAGTTATATTATGAAATATATATCATTATTTACATAATTATCATCTCTTCTTAAAGTGAATTTCACAATTGATATATTAAAACGGTCGTTTTTTTTTGTATCAAAATTTAATTAATATCATAATATAAATCTTGGATATATCATATTTACCATCGGTAATACTAATCGTATATCGCATGCGATAAATTTTAATAACGGTTCGTCGAAATCTAGAAGATTGATCTCTCGTTGATAATATGTTTCATTATCAATCATATCTGACTAGAAGAATCGTTTCGATATTTTAAGGCCACATTTAAAAATATATCCGTGCAATTCTTTTCCAATTAGAGATCGTTATTTGAGATGAACCGATTGCCTTCCGAATTCTTGCCAGAGTATCGATATTTGCACTTGCCGTACGCGCCTGGCAAAAAAGAAAATTTATCATTAATGTCCAGTACATTTACTAGAGCGTATAAATTTATGAATAATTCAGCAATTTTAAAAATTAAATTTTTTTTTTCATACAGTGCGCGGAGATACGTCAATACATTCACCTTGACACACATTCGCCTAAACCCGTTTAGAAGTTTACCTCAGATCGAATCGATCCGCGTATCCGATCCTATCGTGGTGAAAATGTTATCGCGATTAGGATGCAGCCGCGAAAACAATGGTTATCAGTGAATAGCGTTATCTAACGTTTAATTGCTCATTACTTCAACGTTACTCAGCACAATGTACAACGGCGATTGTCTCGAGTACGTATATGTATATGTCATTGTTTTCGTAACGCCATCCTATGTTTGAACGGTACCAATATTTAGAAATTCTTATCTTTTACATTCTTTTTTTCTCGCAAATCTATGTATTGAGCATATCGTCTTATAATACGATGAATTTGTACACTGTTGAAAATTTGTGTTTTCTTGTTAAAAAATATGCCGGTTAAAATTTTTGTGTTAAATATTTAACACATTCATGTATTAATTTGACATATTGTTGTTGCGTTAATTACATTTGCTTAAATTATTAAAATAATTGAAAAATAAGTATAAAAATAACACAATGTGCATATATTTTTAATTTTCCACAATAGATACAATATATTCTATATTATTAGCAACAGGATTTATCTATTAAAATTTCCAAAAATAATGTTGATTTTATTCTACAATAGAAGTGAGAGTGACTACAGACTATCAATAATTTTTCCAAGTTATAATTTTATCATTAAAAATATGTTGATTTTACACAAAATTTATTTCAAATTTCTATGAAGTTTGCATTCATTTTGTGTTGAAATATTAATATAATATTCACATATATAGTGTCACAGTCAAATATGATATATTTAAAATAGGAAATTTTTAGTTTAAATATGTGACTCGATATAGAAGAAAACGGTTTCTTTGATTTATCTCTTGTGGGATTTAAATAGAATAATTAAGAAATAACAAAGATATGACTCATTTAAGGAATTATAAAGCCAAACACTCCGCGATGGAGGAAATATAAGAAATTTATAATGTAAGTAAATTAAATTTCTTATACAAATTTTTAATTCAGCTATTTTTTGCAGGACCAATATTTGTGTGGTAGATTTAAAACTAACACAAATTCTCTGAGAAATATATATAGATATAGTTATATATACATACATAAGATTTCAATATTCTCGAAATATTGAATTTAGTGTCGTTGCGATAATTGTACGTCGAGTATATTTACGGACCAATAGCAATAGAAACTCGAAGAATTTACTACGATAACCCGTTACGTTTTCTATCTCGATAAAATCCCCAAGTTACTCTACGGTATGTTTTAGTCCACTTAGAGTACTTAATATTACGGAATGTAATGTTAAAACTTATGTTAGAGAATCAGACATTTATTTATATGTCGTTTGTCGGTGTGTATATGATAATAAAAATTTTATACGTTTACTCGTATATGCTTCTCGTGATTTATTAATTTCGAGTAAGCGCATTTATAAACGCAAGTTAGGCACATTATTATTCGAGAAAAATATGCATGAATCGTTACATACACTATTGAAGAATTGTGAAGTTTACCTAAAAGAAGAGCGAAGTTATATGAATTATCGTACTATAAAAAATATAGATTTATTTTACGTTTGAAATTATACAATAGCACGATGATTTAAACAATTTTATTTATAATCTTAATTTTTTAATTTTATTCTCAACAAATCATTTTTAAAATAATATTATATATTTTTTATTACATTTTTTTAATTGAAAATTTTAATCTTATTTTTCGCGAAAAAAGTTATATTATGAAATATATATCATTATTTACATAATTATCATCTCTTCTTAAAGTGAATTTCACAATTGATATATTAAAACGGTCGTTTTTTTTTGTATCAAAATTTAATTAATATCATAATATAAATCTTGGATATATCATATTTACCATCGGTAATACTAATCGTATATCGCATGCGATAAATTTTAATAACGGTTCGTCGAAATCTAGAAGATTGATCTCTCGTTGATAATATGTTTCATTATCAATCATATCTGACTAGAAGAATCGTTTCGATATTTTAAGGCCACATTTAAAAATATATCCGTGCAATTCTTTTCCAATTAGAGATCGTTATTTGAGATGAACCGATTGCCTTCCGAATTCTTGCCAGAGTATCGATATTTGCACTTGCCGTACGCGCCTGGCAAAAAAGAAAATTTATCATTAATGTCCAGTACATTTACTAGAGCGTATAAATTTATGAATAATTCAGCAATTTTAAAAATTAAAATGCTTAAAGTTGTATTTCGATTGTATTACAATGTTTTTTTTTTTAACAATCTTTAACACAATTGAACGATTTGATTTGATTATACGCACCCTTGTGATCCAGAGGAGTACGTAGCGAGTTCGGCAAGGGCGTGTAATGGATGTTGAAGTATATGTCGTCGAACTCGTTGTCGGTGTGCGTCGAGCTAGGTACAAAGTTACATTCCAGCTCCGGAACGAGCTTGATCGTCCTGGAGTACTTGCCACGAGCCTTAGCGTCCAGCCTCTCCTGCTGAGTGACTCTTCGCGAGTCCAGGAAACGAAGACTCGGAGGTAAAGTATGGATGGCGTAGAGCCTGTAACGCTTATAATCGTCCTCGTCGGTGGATGTCGGGTTGGTGAGCTGATCGGGACAGCCGGGATTGCCCAGGAGACTCACATACTCTATATTAGGACAGCATTCTCGTATCCGTTCTAGAGCTCTGTCGATGTTAGATATCTATAAGAAGGAAATAATTTGGTTTTCAAAGCATACAGAAATCCAAAAGAACGTTTACATAAGGACTTTAAGAAAGAAGAAAAATAGAATAAAATAATTTACAAGCATGTTAGACAAGGTTGGCACTTTTAAATAATAAATTTAAACTTTGTGTCTTAATGTTATTTTTACTCAAATATATATCTTAAAGTTTTCTAGTTTCTTAAAGAAAAGAGATATTATTTGCTAGAAAATTTATATCGTATGTACAAAAAAAAATTTCAAACATCACAGAAGATATTAAAATATTTCTGTTAAAAATTGTTTTGCAAAAAAGATTTAAGAACAAAATCGTCTCTAACAAATGACGGTAAAATTTTGAAGAAAAGAAATATTGTTTAATGACTTTCTGATTGAATTTTAATACATATAGATTTTTTTAAATCACACAGTGTTTTGATATAAGAATTTTATTTATTTTTATTATCTCTCCAAGTAGAGCAATTACCTTGTTGTTGTTTAGACTCAACGTAGTCAAAGTCGGGATGCACGATAGCGTTTTGAGATTGTCGAGTTTGTTATTGTCTAGAATCAATTCTTGAAGTTGCTCGAAATCTTTTACGCCGGAAACGGTGGTCAGTTCGTTGTACGAGAGATCCAAACCGAGACAATTGTGACCGACAACTCCCACCAATCCATTGGGAACCTTTTCTGCTTTTTGTCCGGTGTACCAAGCCTAAATTATCGATAGATAAGAATAAAATAAATATAAAAATAACAGAAAAGATATAAATATGAGTAAAGAATAAAAATGTAGAAAAATTTTAAACTTTAGAATCAATTTTAGAAATGAAAAAATAAAATTGTTGTAAACAACAACGTAAAGAAAGTACAAGACTTTATTAACTAATTTAATTTTAGATAAACTTCCAGTTGAAAAGAAATTTATATAATTTTTTATTATAATTTTTATAACATTTTATACACAATTTGTACAATAAAATCTTATAATTCTAGATTAAGATTTTAATCGAGAAAACACTTATTAACATTGAAAATTAAGATATATATTGATACTATTTGAAATTTAATTTAGATTTAAATCTAAATTTAAAAAATTTATTCAAGTAATTTGGTCATATTCAATAAAAAAGATAAATAGTTAACATAAGATTAACTCTTTCCAACTATATATCTCCCACACATTTCACAATTTCTGTTTTCTTCCAAGTTCGAGCATGTACTTTTTACTTTATGACAACAAAAAGTGCAAGAGAGTGCAGTTGAAAAGCGCAGATCCGTATCAGTCGACACGTATCATAATATACGCATTGATTAAATGTTATTGCGTACAATTAAAATCGATTTTTTTTATAATTACCCGTCCATTATCGAGTGTCAATCCGCTCCTATTGAAGTCTTGCTGACTGAAACCCGCCATGTTGCATATTGTCCCACGCAAATAGAGAGAGAGAGAGAGAGAAAGCATTATCGCGCTGTTAATAACATAGATAAACCTTGTGCGTATATACATATGCGTATATATTGTTAGCATAATAAAATTCGATATCTTGTACGCATGATCATATATGCAATAACAAAAAAAAAAAATTTGTATAGACTGTTCAAGACAAGCGATATATGTTAAATTTAAGTCAATTTTTTCAACAGTATAAGAAAAACAGATGAAAATCGCGAAAATTGTTATTTAATAATGATAGAATGTAAAAAGAAATTCAATAAAAAAATAAAAAATATTTATGATCCAATTTCAACTAAACATTCTGAAAATATATTTAGTTCGCTTGTTCGAAAAAAATTAGAAAAATTTATCACCATTGAAATAAAACCTTCTCACACATGTAATAATTATCGTATCACTCGTTATCATAACTTGCCAGATACTGGACCTTGAACATGGAGGCTGTTAATACACTATTTGTTACCAGAAGGCAGGAAGCAAAAATCAGTATTATCGTTGTCCTGTTCCGTTCAGTGGAAGAACAAATAGTCAAATGAAAGAATTCAGAGTCAGTATAGCGAGAATTTCGTTCCGCGTCGTGTCTTTCTTCGACTGTTGCTCTCGTTAATCATTGCAAAATATCAATTTATTAAGATTATTAAGAATTATAGTAGTTTCTACTGTAAATCTTTGAAGGTAATACATTTTCTTAATCCAGGATAAAAAGAAAATATTCAAACAAATTAAAGTGAAATAATTAAATATACATCACTAAAAGTATGTAAATTCGCTTCGAAATCAGCAAAAAATAGTGCGATTCTAATTGACTAGCCACAAAAATCCGGAGAACCAAGATTGAATTGATCTCAACAAGATGACGAAGAGTGCTCGTTATTCGACTTTCAAGGAGCCTCCCATTCGAGGCTCCTGGACTACCGGAAAAATCGCACAACGTTTCGCTTCGAATTGGCTGCTGGCGTGCTGTTGTGGTTCTTGTTACGCGGGACAAAAGGCAGCTTCGACTTCAAGATCAAACGGAGAAAAGATCCCGAAGTCCGTCGTCGAATCGCAGATTCCGTCGATCGATTCTACGAAATCGGAAGACGGTAGTGAACTCGCGATGGAGGAAATTCTTCTGACGGATCGCAATCATGGAGTATCAAAAAATGTTGCGACGCAGGACGTCGCTGAAGATGACACTTCGTTGATAAACCGCAAAAACGGTTCCTTGATCGATACCTCGGATTCCAAGAGCAAGACCTCGTCCAGTAGCGGAGCTTTGAGCAACGGGACGAGACGCGTGATGGGCAGTTTGCCGGTGCTTCCGAGCAAGGAGAAGAAATCAGCATCTAACGACGAGAAGAATGTGTCGGAAAGCGATTCGGAAATAGGGCATCCCGCGAGAATCTTCGCCAAATGCTCGAAACGATACAGGCAGCAAAGAGCGATAAATGTTCCACAATTGATAATAAGTTAGCCGAAAAATAATTTAAATAATAATTTAAAAGACTGTAAAAAAAGATTTAATCGCGAATTATTAAAGAAAAAAATCCAAAATCTTAAAATGTTAAAAGAATCTTTCAAATTAAAACTTATCATTAAAATTGTTATTTTAAAATAATCTCAAAAATTAAAAAAGAAATAATTAAGCGCGATTATTATTACATATTATTATATGTCATGTTATGGAAATATATAATTATATTATATAAAGACATTCAGCATAATAAAATTCGATATCTTGTACGCATGATCATATATGCAATAAGGCTCGTTGGTCTAGGGGTATGATTCTCGCTTAGGGTGCGAGAGGTCCCGGGTTCAAATCCCGGACGAGCCCAATTCTTTTGCATTTTGATTTTTTTTTAATTTTCAACTTCAACACAACTCTTTAGTCATTAAAAAATATATACATTGCATTTTATATATTGTGTTAAGACAGTTACAAAGTATATTGTTCATTCAATATACTACAGACAGTACATATATAAAATGCTATTATTTCTTATGTACAAACCCGTTCTATATATAACATTATAATATTCATTTGCGATTTACTTTATTTTTATGAGTCTCATTCCTTAAAGACTTAGATTAAAATTATATATAAATATATCTCAACATATTTTTCTTTCAATAAATATCATTATTAACAAATTTACACAAAGACGCGAATCCTAATAGCCGAAAACGATATTTTACTATGATATGAAATCGCTCAAGGTTTTTTTATTCTTCTTTAGTTTATATATTCTGTGAGATGTGCTGCTTATTTTCGGAATTGAAATTTTGTTGGAGGGACCTGCTTCTTGTTCGTATTCTTTGACATTTGAATGATCTTGCTCATCCGACTTATCTTGCTTTAGCTCCTTTACGAATTCGTCTTTAGAATTGGGAAAAATGTTTTCATCAATCTTTGGAGAATTATTATCACTAAAATAAAGAATAAGTGTAATAAATGTAGTGTACTTAATATAATATAATATATTATACTGTACCTTGTATTGTGCAAAGATTTTTCAGATTCTATCTTCATATATGGCGTTGACAAGTTTATTTCATTATGAAAATGGAACATAGATTGGAAAGTTCTTACAAAATCAGTCGCAGTCGGTGCAGTAGTATCAATGTGAAACAATTCTTCGCTGAATGGTTTTGTAGCAATATACTCTATAAGATATAAATAATGATGCTTAACTTATATTCAAATCAATTTACTTTAACTTTATTTTTAATTTTTAGCTGTTTGGAAGAATAATATTACACGTTATACAAAAAATACTTACTCCTAATCAACTCTGCACCTTCTGCTTTATATTCTGCAATTTCCTCATCTTTTTGTTTTACTAAATCCAATAGAATCTTATATCGGCGAACCAGTTCCATCGATGACAAGCAGAGAGGCATGGTCACATTTTCCCAAAACTGTTGCGGCGTTTCTTTGAGAAGATCTAACGAGAATCTCAATTTCAATCTTGATCTTTCAAAATCTTGATCTTTCCGCAGTTCTATTCGATATGTGGAAAGTTCTACAGTATGTGTATGCATATGCTTGGGAATATCGTTTAACATATCCATTACCAGTTGCTTCCAATCAACAGCTTCAAGATTTAAGAGAGGATTCAAGGTCTAAAAAGCAATACAATATATATTATACATATAAGTATATGTATAAAATAAGTTTATTATTAAAAAAACTACAAAATAATTTCTTAAATTCGAATCTATATTTTTTTCTCCTGTGGTTCCTATAGCGGATAATAGAGATTTCAATGTATACTATGTACAATATGTATAAGCATAGTAATATATCACATATAATTATAAAATGATTCATTCGAGCACCTGAAATTTGTGGAGCATAGTTTCATCTGTCAGAGTCTCTATCCAAATTTCTATTAGATTCGTTAAAAGAACTTTCCACGGCTCGTTCTTTTTCGTGAAACAAATCATGTGAGCTTCGTTGTTTATTTTAACATTTTTCCAAATCCTGTTATGCTCACAGTTGTCCGGAATCATATTTATGTAATTTCCAATCTTAACGATATAAGACGATAAAATAAAGAAATAAAATTCAAAATACAAACATATATAAATTATGTATCGCGCGAACAGTATTGGTTATCATATAACCTATCAAAGTTTCTTATTAAATCCCTTAATGACTTCATAATGCTATTATGATTAATTAAATGCGTAAATTAATCAAAAACATCGCATTTAATAAACAGATCTTTGTATCATGTGATTTGTTTTTGATCAATAAAGAATTTGCCTATGCCTATACGTCAGTTGGTAAAATACATAGACATATGCTGCGGTCGGGAAGACGCTAGAAATGCTTCGAGGCGTTGCATTAACCAATCAGAATAAAGAAATCTTTATTCTTTCTGTCCTGATTGGTCAATCAAACTCTTCGAAGCATTTCTAGCGTCTTCTCGACCGCAGCCGGCCACAGCTCTTTTGACGAAGTTAGCGATCTAGTAGTAGTATAGGTATCTGTGGCTATTTCTCTGTCCCGCTAATAATAATAATACTATAGACATAAGTTCCGACTGACAACGTGTCGGGTTCGGACGTGTTTTTGCGTACTGCGTATGTCCTTTGTCTGGACCTTTTTTTTGGACTTTCTCCTCTCTTAAGAGGAGTTTTTGCTTATATCTTACAAACCCATAAGAAACAATGGTGTATGGGCGACTAATGCCCAAACACATACACGATGAAAGAGAGACAAAGACGGCGCAATCATCTCTCTTTGTCAAACGATCAGTGTATTACTAGAAAAATGTCCTCATTAGCTGCTCTTTGCATATAGCTCTAGTGATATCCGTTTTTTTCGTATATGTAGCCTCAAAAAAGTCATATTTCTTCCTCTAACTTTTTTTGCTATATTCTTTACAAAGCTTAGATTGGCGCTACAGAGTCGGATTTTGCATTTTGGCTCTCAAAAAATTTATAATTAATAAAATACAGCTCATGGCCAACTGCACCTAATCCGCCATGAGCTGTACCAGAGCTGTACCTTGTTTATCAACTTATGAAATATTATTTTAATTCTTTTTTCCAAAAGATCACTCTGTAGCGCCAATCTTACGATCCTACTGATTACGAATATTGTTGTTAGAATATAATTTTCTTTGTATTTTGGCTGTAATACGAAAAAAACGTATTCGTAATTCACGTCTTCCAGCGAAAGGTCTCTACTGTCTCTCCTGCCGACTCTTAAGAAGTTTTGAGTTCTTGCTACCATGCGCACACTCTGCTTGGTCGACGTCACCCGACGTCCTCTGTCAGCCATGTCAATTATAACGATTTCTATCGAGCTCTCGCGATACTCCGGTATCGATATAACATCGATTTTGCTTTTTGCTTAATCAACACGCACGCACTTCCGCTCTCGGATTCCTCACCACGCTTTTGTAGAGTGCTATTCATATATTTTGTCATCTGTATAGTCGTTGATAATATATATAAAGTAGTTAATCTCAGTTTCACAGTGATTGGTCTTCTACTTCGATATCCACTGATCCTTTCTCAGTATGGTGAACCCTGCTAAAATCAAACTTTTGACAAAAGACAATTATGACACGTGGCGAATGCAGATAGAAGCCGTGTTAATCAAGAATGACTTGTGGGAATACGTGAGCGGCGAGTGTCCCCTTCCGAAATTACCGGCAGATAAAACTATTGTCACGGAGATAGAATGGCTCGAAAATGCGACAGCACAAGATCAGTGGTGGAGAAATGACAAAAAGGCACGATCGGACTTGATTCTGGCTATCCATCCGTCGCAGCTTCCGCAGATTCGACACTTGACGTCTTCGAGAGAAGTCTGGCTCGAACTCGAGTCAATCTATGCGTCGAAAAGACCGGCGAGGAAGGTGACCCTACTCAAGCAGCTTATTATGCGCTTGGTGAACGGTGGAGACGTAAGACACCACATGAATAAATTCTTTAATGCTGTCAACGAACTCTCGGCAATGGATGTTCACATTAATGGTGATTTATTATCCATTATGTTACTATACAGTCTTCCGCCAAGCTATGAGAATTTCAGGTGTGCGATCGAGTCACGCGACGAACTCCTCACAGCAGAGGCTCTCAAGGTTAAGATTCTCGAGGAGAACGACGTCAGGGCACAGACTGCAATGGTTAAGGCGGCCAATGCTCTCGCAATTGGTGGAAAACGTCGAAGAACGAGACGACGGAAAAAGAAAGTGAAGCAAACTGGCACTACCGAAGACGCGTCAAGAATTGTATGCTACGAGTGTGGTAAGACAGAAGTCTCCTAACTGCGCGGATATTTCTGACAGATCCTCCGAAAAACCAAAGCGGAGACCAACGTGCCGAGTTCCGGCAAAGCCGCTCGCTAATGCAGCCGACGACACATACTTAGCTCACCACACTATCTTTGAAGAAAATTGCCAAGTCTCGAGCGTACACGCGCATGGATTCTGGCACCGCGCATTTGTATGGCCAAAGAGATCTCTTTGAGAAGATTGATTCTTCGACAACGGGCAGACTCAACCTAGCGAGCCAAGCTTCAACCGTGGTGGAAGGAAGAGGACCTGTGAAGATACTAGTATCGGGTAACCAAAGCCGTCGAGCTTCACAACACACTTTTTGTTCCAGACTTGATAATTTCCTAAATTTCCTAAAATTGTTGATAGAGATCATACTGTCACATTCCGCAGCGACTCAGTGGTGGTTACTGATCAAGATGGAGACAAAGCTAACCAAGCTAACCGACGAGATAACTTGTATTATATTCAAGAAGAAGTCGACTGTGCGGGGGTCGTCAAGGCACGTCCACGCTCTGACTTGTGGAAGTGACACGGACGCCTGGGACACCTAAACTCCAGGGACTTGATTAAGATCATCGGTAGTCTCGATCAACAGTTATCCACCACGAAGGAGGCTGAAGACTTGAAGCGATGCGACATTTGTTTGCGGGGGAAGATGACGGCTCTCCCATTTCCAAACGGAAGCCCACCGTGTGCCGAAGTTTTGAATATTATGCACACTGATGTTGTAGGTTCTCTCCGTGTCCGATCAGCGAATGGTGCCAGATTCTTTGTTACCTTCATAGACGACATAGTATAAATATATTTTATTAAATAATTCTATTATTAAAAAATAAGCACTTCATAACTGAATGGTTTGTGAAAAAAGCTGAGTGATGTATTTTAAAAACGTAGTGAGAATTGTTACTATTTAAAATATATTATATATATAATATGTATTGCATATTTTTGTGGGATTATATTAAACTTATTTTTAATAATAATTAAAATAAAACACACTTCTCTTTCTTTCTTATAAGAGTATGATGAAAAGGTTCATTTTTTATAAAATTTTTAATTTTTTGAGAAATGTCTGTATACATTGTAACTTTCGCAAATTTTGAGATATCAGGTTAAATTTTTTTACATGTATAAAGTATTATTAAAGGATGGTTGCTACTGAATTTGATGAGTATTGGTGAAAGGGTTTATTTTTTATAAAATTTTGAATTTTTTGAGAAATGTCTATACACGCTGTAATTTTCGGAAAATTTGAGATATCAGATTACATTTTTTTACATGAATAGAGTATTATTAAAGGATGGTTAGAGGAAGCAATGTGCAAGTTTCTAATTTGCACAACTCTACTTGTATTTATTTCTTTTTATTTATATTAAATTATGTTTTCAAATTTCGTTGAAATTATATATTCTAATCATATTCATATAAAAAACTAAGGAAAGTAGTTAGATATATAAAAAATTAACAGAAATACTATGAGAAAATAAATAATAATTTAACAAAGAATATATAATATATAAGAATATAATTTAACAGTTAATCAAATCTATTAATTAAATTGTCCTCGAATTCAACTTTCTCTGGCTGCGAATTAAATGTAACTGACTATGCATTGCGACTCGCCGGAAGTTTTAACGGAGACTTCCGTCTAGACACTTCCTGCCAATTAGTAAGCATAGCAGGATTACACTTGCTTGTATAAAAGGACTTGCGAGATTTATCAGCGCCACGGTCCTTGCACAATCCGTCAGACGGCGTGAAATTTTCGGTTTTACGTAAAGACATCTTCGACGTATTGCCAGATGCTTTCTCTCTCTTTGTTATCAAATAATTGCGAAGTAATACGTCGTCGTATTTTGGTGAGAGTTCGAGAAGTTCTTTGGCGAAAACTTTATCAAATTCCACGCGTGCTTTTCTCGTCTTTCCATTTCCTGCAAAGAAGGATATATCGGAACATTTAGATTTTTATTAATTTAGAAATTTAAATATATATATATATATATTCATATATATAATAATGTTTTTATTTATTAATAAATGTATCTCTAATTTACGACTTTAATATACATTACCGTGTATTTTCTCGTTAACGATTTCTTTTTCAGCGAAACTTTTACTGACATCAGTTTTTGATGCTCGATATTTTCTCATCGTATTGTTGAGAAATCTTAATTTTAAACAGGGATTTCCAGTTTCGTTTGTATATTGTGATGTCATTACATGCTTCGATGCTACATGCTGTAATAAAAGCTTCTTGAAGAAAGTTGTAATGACGAATTTTGACTGTAATTATTAACTCTGTCGCTGGTATAAAAACACAAAGATGTACATTAATATAAAAAGATATTTAAAGAAGTTACTCGAAAATTATATCACTAATTAAGTTTTTTGTACCATTTTTCGAACAATTTCGTCCTTTCTCCTGCATCTCGATGCTAAGGTATTTAAAATATCCTTGGTGTACGCATTTATCTTTCTCGTGATACTCGATAATTCGTTGTATTCGAGTTTAAGTTGTCTGACGAGGTAACTCTCAACTCCCGAAATCGTTATATCAGAATCGATCGCATTATTATTTAAAAGATTACAGGATACTCCTACATCCTTGACTAGGATGGCATCTTGAAAACTATCAATTTTATTACTTCTGTAACACGAATCACAAATCTTGCTTATTCAATTCTTTAATTATAAATATATCGAAAAGTTAGCGAAATAAAATAATGGAAAGAAAAATATAAACAAATAAAAGAAAGAGAAAATCTCAATAAAAATTTCAAGAATTGAAGTTATATTTGAAATAATATATCAATAGAATTGAAAGTAATATTTCTCCATTTATTATTTTTTGCATTAATTGAAAGCGACATTTTCAATTTTTTGGAAACTAAAGGACATGCGCGTTTCATTATAAGTTTCGTATTACATCTTTACATTTTTAATAAATAAAATTGCACCTATAATAAGGATATCCATAATAATCGATCCTTTGCAAGGGATCGTCCTGTATTACTACGGATTCATCGCGCGTATAATTTTTTACGACATTAATCGAATTCGATGATATCGTCGAAGCAATCGGATTTTTATCTTGCCGTAAAGGAGAAGCATTCTCGAAATTCTTCGCGCCGGAAATCGCTGAATATTTTCTTCTCTCCGACATAATACTAGATGCATCGCCCGTTTCCGGGGAGCTAATTGCGCATATCTGGAGACGCAGATTTTATTAATTAACGATACGTGATGGGCGTATATATAAGTGATAGTCTCTTATGCTCCATTATTTTATTATTAATAATATATCTAAATGAATATATATATTTTTATCACATTTATATATCATATTGTAAGTCATACACACAATAGTGATAATTACCTGAAAATATAGCGCGGAAGCAAACGTAGCGTCGCAACACGAGGGAAGATGTGAGGACAATTACTTATCAACAGATTCATCGATTAAAGAATTCGACCGATTAAAGGATTCATCAATTGTATGTAATTACCGAGATCCTGAGCTTTCTTCGGCCCATCACCGAGAAACACAAGCAGGTACCGTATTCGTGTCTTTGTCGCACTTTGTTAGACATATCCATCACATTATAATAAAATCGCGATATTACCAATCAATTTTGGAAAACGAAAAAAGAATTAATATTTCCTTGTTTGGCCTAAATAGGGGGTTATATTCACCTCTCAATAAAGCGATCGAGATTAATTCTTGACTGCAACCTGTAGGCAACTTCGTTTACGCTTGTTCAGAAATCTATTTTCTACAGTATGTATAGAGTGTTATATACTTTAACTTCTTTCTTAAATATGTACTATAAATTAAAATTTGCGCTTATCAATAAAAAGCCAATTTCTTGAGGAAATATATATGTTTTACGTAAACAAATGCCGAAGAAAATTGCACTGAGATCTAAGCGGTCTTCCTCTAGATTTTAAAATGTTATGTATTATTAATTTTATGACAGATCCGCCATTGAACTGATTGTAAATAAGGAATTCTACGCCACTGGTGGCTCATTTTCTACGGCCGACAGTTGCGGCTTACACGATAACGATGACGATGGCGGCGTTAACAGATTAACATCGTCTTCATGGCTTTGGGCGCCTATTGGCTTTAAGGCATTGAAATTTCATTTGATATTTTATCGGTTTTTAACTAATTAGTAAAATACAAAAGGCAATTATCATTTAAAAATACGAAAATATAAATTTTATGTGAGTATATTTATATTAGTTATATAACTATATATATTTCTATACACGAAAAATTTTATTGTATGAGAGCGCGATTCTTGTGACATTAGTTTTTCCAATGAGATTCTCTCGGTTCAATATCCGAGAATGATTCTCTCAAACTTTGCTCTTTTACAATTTTTCACAATTCTCGACATAATAATATGAGAATAGTAATAAAAAGGTGAGATATGTTTCGATTTTTAATACGGCAAATTTTTTTCTGCTTTTGCAATTTTTTCAAAAGTTTAAAATATTTCAATTTTTGTATATCACGGGCCCAGAAAAGGCCCATACTGGTATACATCACTGTACCAGTTCGCCGAGCACGGTCGAGGAACAGGTCGCGACGTCGCGGCCCCGACAGTCTTCGGCGTTTCGTTCGCCAGTCATCGTCGGATCCGTCTCTCTGGGTCCTCTGATATCTCGCGCGAGGATGTGCAAGTCTTAGTGCGCAATTCATCGTCCGAAGAGAACCTTCAGAAATCTGTGTAAAGGATCTCTCCAAGAATTATACTTGCCACTCTGGAAGATTCATAGCGGTCCCAGGGATCGCGATGTCTTTGAACACCGCGTTCGGCTCGAGTCCGATGAGAGTCGTGAAGAAAATTGATTATTAGTGACCAGTACCCAAAAAGATTGATTGCTGATTGATAAATATAATATTATTAATATTGGAATATAATAAAATAACCGGTTAGATTTAATTACGATATTGTTGTTATTAAAATATATTGTATTTTATCGATATTGAAATAATTTACAGGAATGATAAATAACTATTCAAGAATCCAGAGAAAGTAGCGACGATCGCTGATTCGCCATCGGATTCGAGAAAGTTGTATATCGCTTTGCGCGATATGTCGGGGACTCAAGTGACATTTTCGCTTCTATTTCTGAACTAAGCTCGTTCGCTGCAACGATTGACCGGAACATTTGATCGGAATAGTAATGTGCGGAAAAGGGTATCAAGTCGATACCAAAAAATATATTGCAGCTCGTTTATTAGTGAAAGCGCAGTGATCGAAAAAATTAAGTGGAAAAAATGCACAGAGAGAAGACAGAACCAGAGCGAATTCGCGCGATTGATAAGAGGAATCATGGCATAAATAGATAAATAATAAATATAATAGCGATAAGAGCAATGACATTTGTGACGCAAGGATAACCAGTGACTTTATCAGCTCGATATCGGTCCGGAGTCTGGTTATCACAGTTTCCTTTAATGAGGGTTTATATATAGAGATTAGATGGATGGTATGTGTCAAGACTAAAGGAGAGTGATTTTTGTGAATATCGAGACGAGTGAGATCGCGGCGTGGATCGAATGAGACACGTATCGAATGGAGTGACGCCGGGATTTCTCGCAGATCATCATCGTCGTGGATCATCGATGTAGCGCGATGTCGGTCTGGTTGCCTGTCCTGGCGGCGACGCTGTGCCTCTGGATGAGCGCTGGTGAGTTCAATGCGAGATCCCGCCGTACGCGCCGGGATTGGCAGATTGAGATATATTTATGTCTTAATGATTAAATTTAAAAAAATTATAAATCTATATTGCTGTCATTTTAATTAATGGACTCAAATTAATAAATAATTAATTAATAACGAATATTTAAAAAATACACTAATTCTGGAAAATTATAGTAATTAAAAGCATCTTCGCGAAATGATATGATGATTAATGCTCTAAGATCTCTGAGAAATCGGAGGATAGCAAGAGATCTATAAAGTAGCAGTTGCGAAATAATTAGGAATTCAGAAAACCGAGAGAATCTTTTACAAGCATTCCATGAAGCCGAAGATATGTCGCCAAGAGTATCCATAGCTTCCTAGATGAAAAATATCCGTGATACTCGTTTTTATTTATTTTAAACTATTCTTTTATAATGATGCAATATCTTGGAGCAAGAATGTTTACAATGTCCGCAATAATTCCAAACGAGATAATTTCGAAATTACTGATTAATATATATATTATACATTTTTTCTAAATATAATCTTCTAACATCGCATATTGCAGCTTTTTTGAGAAAAAGTATATATGAGATGAGTTATACAAATATTTTTTTTCTAATATATATAATATCGTGGAGAAAGCTGTGCGCATTCGCATGTATAAAGATATTAGAACAATCGTTAGTGCATTATTTAAACACGCGACGTATTTTTTTATCAGAAAGAGAAAGAGAGAGAGATAATTTCTTTTTATTTGCATAAAACAACGGCTGTTTCGAGATACAAACTTGCAGAATTATGTTCGATACAGATATATTGCCTTGGATATGCCAACGATACCTTTCTCTACAAATCGACTATATGTGCTATAATAAAAGATATTTGCTGTAACAAAACATCTTTCGTAGTTTCAGATTTTACACAGTAACTTATTACAGTACTTCAACTTTAATTTTTTTGTAAATATCCTTATAATAAATTTTAGATATAATTATTGAAGATTCCTTTAATATTTCTTACATAAATTATTTGTAAATTCGCAATAAAATGAGCATATAATAAATATTGAAATATGATATAATATCTCTTTTTAAATTATCATAAAGTTTTATTCATTTCTTTTTAAATTAATTTTGCATAGATATGATATCAAGGCTATACATCTAGACAAATTTAATATGTGAAATACCAAATATTGTCACATCGGCCAATCTCATATATGCCAAGGCATCATATATGTCACTACTCATGACTGTTCTCGATAGCGAATGGTCGGGATTTGAGCAAGTAGAAAGTCCATAATATCTCAAGAAAGTCTTGCGAAGGCCTTTCAAAGTCGGCCTTTTGTCAAATCCCTCTTCCTCAACTCAGATAATTGCCGAAGAAAGCCAGAGAGCAACCGATCGCTCGCGCACGCGGTAACAGTTGCGACACGATTACGAGAATGTATGTTCGAGCGCAAGAATGCAACAAGAGGAGGAAGATGACGGATATTTTGCATGTATACGAACATACCGACAATCGTTTGAACGTTAAAGACTTTAATTAGTCGAGTGCGCAAATAATTGCAATCGAACCTCGTAATTGCAATCGAACCTCGTAATTGCAATTTAATTCCTGGCATCCTGTAAGATGAGTTCTATGGCCATTTTAGTTCGTACAAAAAATAACAAGAAAACAAAATACCTTTTAAATAGTAATATTGAAATATCTTATCGATCGATATGTGTGATTTATTTAAAGTGACAGATAATAGAAATTATATTTTCGTAAAACGATATTTCTGTAATAGATATTTTATATATTTCTAAAAGAAGAGAAATTCTCGTTATTCTTATTTATATATATGTATAAAAAATATATATATTTACACAATTTATTTTATATTCTAGCGCCAAGAATAAGCGACATATCGAATAATCTAGGATAAGCGAATGTAAATGCATTTCAAAGTTTAAAATCACGCATAAATATGTGTTGCATCTTCTGTCGATCGCTTGTACTTGCATCACGTTTGACATGATTAATCCTTCGAAGAATAATTAACTACAGCCAGGAAGCATGCGGTTTTGCGAATAATTACAGCTACTTTGACACTAGCTCTTCTTTCATGCTGAGGGCAATCATTGATGATTTAACCATCTTTCTCGATAAAATGTAGCACTTCACAAATATATAATTTTTTAATTTTATTTACCTTTTTATTTTTTATATTGATTAATTTTGAATTTATTTATATTATTTATTTTCTTAAATTTTTTTTCTTGTATTATAAAATTATCACGAAATATTTGTATTTCGGGCAGTAGTCTTCTAATATTAATATTCGAAAAATTGATCTATTTAGATTTCAGCACTGAACTAGTCAGAATTTCTCGAGATACGCTGCTTGAATATTTCAATATCATTCGAAAGTTCGTACAGCAGAATAGTAACAGTTCTCGCTATGCACAGTGTGTACTACACACGGTAGCCACCGGAAAAATAAAGGCGGACACAATCTACGCATGCCAGAAATACTGGCATCGGTCTCGTGTAAACCTTCTCTTTGCGTTCTTAGTAGCTGATACCGCATGATAAATTCTAGGGAACTTTTTATCATGATTTAATTTTTCTGGATAAAAAAATAATTTATCTTACTCAATAAATACGGTATTGTTGCAAGAATGTATGTATTTTTCTCCTTGCAATGTGTCTAATTTGTAAAAATGGAAGGTAGAATGAATTAAATTTCTTTACGAAATTCATAATAGTTTTTGTAAATAAGTGAAACGGTACTAGGAAGGTCGAGGAAAACGCGTGCGAATGTGCGAGGACAAATTTTATTCTCAGCACGGTGAAGCAGTGACACGATCGCAAACTCGTGAGACACAGATATTAATATGTTGCACCTGGCGGTGGCATAAACGGGACGCAGACACTCGGCAAAAACTGACGGTCAGGCTTTACAATAAGAGTTTGCCTTCGTTTAATCCTTTTCAAAGGCAAAGGCAAATGTCCGTGTTTGAAACAGCTCGAGAAGTAGTATACTTATAATTAATCCAATAATTATTTTTAATGCAAATAGAAGTAAATTAATAGCCACATATTTTTAAAATAATAAAAAATTTACAAGAGATAATATAAATATACTTTGTTTATAATATCATTAATATATTTGAAGGAGATATAGAAGATCGAGTCATATATTTTTCACTTTTTAAGATTTATTATGAAATTTGAAAAGACTTCTGAAATGCACAAATTTCGAATAAAATGCGTGAATTATTTTAAATAGATATTTTAATGAAAAATGTTCAATATAAGTTTTTTTAGTATTTTCCATTTAATACGATCTTTTATAAAAAAATAATAATTATCGCGATTACTTGCCGTTCATTTCATTCTTCAACAAATGGTTAAATACATATACCGATTAAAAAATCCTTTCTATACTTTTAGTAATAATTACAATAAAATATATTTCTCTGAAAAAAATGTATAAAAAGAAAATTGATGGTAAAATGATTGATATAATAATTAAATAATTGATAGTCAGATTTTTATCTCATTTAATCCCTTTCTATTTTTAGTAATAATTACAATAAGATATATTTCTCTGAAAAAAATGTATAGAAAGAAAATTGATGTGGTAAAATAATAGGTATAAAAATTTTTTTTTTAAATAAATTAATAAATTGCAAATAAAAAAATAGATGGTTCAGAGAAAGAAGAAAAGAGAATTGGAAGTGAAAGAGATCCTTGTATGAAATTATATCGGGTCCGGTATTTTTCGCGAGAGTATTATAACAACGTCCAAAGCGCAGAGACAGTCGTACAAATCGGGTCACCAGACACCGAGCAAGAACCCATACCTAACCTTCACTGACACCAAGACTCGTCGACCATGTCGACGATGGAGGGACCAAACGCGTTTCCACTGACTCGTAGAATTCTTCGCGATAGCGCGGTCTTTGTGCCATCGTCTTCTTCGCGCGCGCGTTATATCGCGATTTATTGGTCATGTGTTTATTCGCGTCTAGCTTTTCTACAATTCTGATTGCCGTGGAGAACAAGTTTTCTCCGAAAAAAAATCCGACTGGTCTTACAAAATGGCATAAACATACAACAATTGAAGCGGAAAACCTGAGTCCAAAGAAAAAAAGCATAATATTATAATATATAAATGTAAATCTCATAGAAAATGAAATCAACATATACAAGTCATTTATAGTTAAAAAATTCGAATTTTAAAAATTGTTAATTTATATTATTTTTACACAAAAGCTTTACATATTATATTATCCTTTTTAATTTAAATTATAAAATGTTTATTCAATTTTTTATTTAATATTTTAGCGATAGTATTTTTTTTTTAATTCTCAGGATAAATATTTACTCGAGCATAAATCCGCTTTTAATAATTTTGATTTAACGCACAGAAAATAAGCTCATCAACAGAGCGAATGCAAATGCTACGATGTTATTATGCGGTCATAAGTTCGTTTTATACGGGCATTCTTTTCAGCAGATAAGAATTGTTCGTAACCAGTCCTAAACAAATCCTTCGGCATTTTTACAGACTACTTATTGCGCTTATTCGTGCATTTATTTCGACGATGTTGCATTAAGGAAAAATCCGCTTATGTCATAAGCGACGAGTGTTGCAAGCAACGGTTTCATTGTCTCGACAATGAATACGAAACGTGTCGGTAATAATTATTTCTTTGAGATAAAATTCCCTAAATAATTTACAACCGAATTTTTAATACAAACTCAAACGGTCCCAAAAAAGGACCGAAACGTTCGTTAATTATAAATTTGTAATGTCGTAAATCGACACTTGGCTAATCTAATTTAAATAAAGTATGCGCACCAACTCCAGCGCTGGCTCTTACTTGCCATTTATTTATGTTTGAGTTTATATAAATAATCAAGTATTAAAATAATTTGCAACTTTATAAATGTGAGTATATACATAATATGTGTGTATATATAAATTTTATTATAATAATATAGTATTAATTTTTTTTGATATAGTACTAATTTTTCTGATTATTATTAAATGCGAATATATTAATTTTGATCAAATTAATTATGTGACGATAATTAATTCTAGGCATTTTTTTGACATGGACGACTGTTGCTGGGCACAATTACTTCCACATGAGAGATAACTTTCGCATGTACTACTTCGATCTCAGTATGTTATCCTCGAAGAATTGGCGTATCGTGCACGTAATGAGCCACCATATGTATCCTAATACTTTATGGGATTATCAGATTTACGAGCTGGAACCGTTTCTTCAATGGCTCCCTCATAAGGATAAATCCTACTTTGCGGGTATCATAAGCCAGATCATCAGTCCTATCGTCTGGATGTTATTGTTTCTCTTGGAAGGCTTCAAACGGTAATAGTTAATTTCACATCCGTTCGTTGAAATTTAAAAAAAATTAATCTATATCTCTTCAAATCTAGATTTTGAGTTCTACATTAATTTTGTTTTTTTTATTTCAATATTCTGATTCTTATTAAGAATTTATATAATTTCAATTTCATTATATGATTCTTGTCATTAATTATTAAATATATATTTTTATAATTTTTATATATATAAATTTTTTCTTAAACTTTAAATATACACATACTTGTGATATTTTTTGATACCAAGAAATTGTCCGACAGAATTTCAAATCCGACGATCTCGATATTGTAATAAAGGTTTTAATCGTTTCTAGATACTACTTGGTATTCAAGGAATATGGAGTCTTTGAATTTCGTGACTTTGTGCCGTTTCTGCTGCCTTTATCGATGAGTTTGCTAGCGCCCAAAGTTCTCGTCGCATTCAAACTGTGGCTGATAATGCTGCTGATCAGTAGCGCTCTGTTCGGTTTGATTGGCTTCAACGCGGCTCATCATCATCCCGATATTTTCCACGACGGTGATATCTATAGGTTACACATTGATCGTGTTTTATTACTTTAAATTATCGAATCGTTCTAATAATTGGTCTTACATTGCTCTTCTCCCACTATAAATAACTAATAATAATAATAAGCTTTTCTTTTATATTTTTAGTTTCTGGCTAAAACTATATATAAATTTAATATTTAGTTTCAATTTAAAAAGTTTTTATTATAACTTTAATTTTAATTTTGACATTATATAATTCTAATTCTGACTTTTAATTTAAATGTAATTTGATAATAATTTTTTTTAAATAGCAAGATGATTCTAGCATCTTTATTATAGATTTCAAATGATATAATAAAGTATTCACAATTTTTCTAATTGTCATTTTCCTAATATCCTCAAGGAATGATCTGGACTGGGGTTTGCTCGAGATGGACGCAGTACGCGATCGCGAGGTGATCGATGACTCGACCTTCCTGGCGCTCACGAACTTCGGTTCGCATACACTGCATCATCTTCTGCCCACTGTGGACCATCACTATCTGCAACTGTGCGTGCCCGCTTTTCTGCAGACGTGCAAGGAATTCGGCCTCAATTCGGACAAATGGACGCAATGGGAGCTTCTTAAGGGACAATTCAGGCAACTCATGCGAACCGAAACGAAAAAGAATCATAGATAGTGATTCTTATCTTCGACACAAGACAGTTCATTAAATTCTGTAAATTTCTTATATAAAAATTTCTTATACATTGTTTCATATAGTTTTTGACATAAACATGGTTGAATAATAATAACTGTAATAAACTCTAATTGAATTTCTTCAAAGTAACGTAAATCAATAAGAGATTTTATAAATCAAGATTA